TGGTCATACCATATCTACAGTTGAGAGCCAAGAGAAGTTAATTCAAACCTGTTTGCTTGCTTGCTCTCAGCTTAGTTTCTCCACTTTTATACAGTTGGAGCCCCTGCTTAGGGAATGGTGCCACCCACAGTGAGCTGGGGCTTTCCACATCAGTTAATTCAATTAAGACAACAGCCCACAGACATGCTGACAGGCCAACCCGAAGTAGACAATTCCTTACTGAAGCTCCCTTACCATGATTCAGGCTGTGTCAAGTAGACGATTGAAGTTAATGATCACAGCTGGTTACAGCTGAGGCAGTACAAAACGGTATTCTGGTAAATTCAGTTGTGTCCACGGTGGTGGAGGCAGAGGTGAGCATATCATTTGAAGGTGGAGCTGAATGGATTTCAGGGATTCACAAGTGATGGTACGACAGAATAAGGACACGAGAACTGACTTCATTCTGAAGTTCCGCTTCTCAAAAACCCGTCTGGGACGCCACAACGATAAAGGCATACCGCACCAAAAGGCTGAGTGGAAACAGGAGTCCACAGCACCTTTGAGTACTTGTACTGTACTGAGGTACTTGCACATGACAAAACACGTCCGTAGGGGGTGAGGGAGTCTGCATTGACCGTGGATTCCTGCTCCAGAGGATCACACACATCCAGGTGCCCTTTCGGCTTTGCTGCTCCGCGCTGTCGTTACTCAGCACCCGGGGAGATGCAGCCAACAGTGAATACTGCCACCCACACGGATGCCGGGGGAGATAAGACTGATGCTGATCGCTCGAAAGAGTGGGTGAGAGGTTGCAGGTTATAGAAACATTTTCAGTCTCTCCAGTTTTTGATTTAGTACGTGTTTGGTGATGGCATGCTCCTTTCAAGTTAGAGAAAACCAGTCTATGTGCTTTTATTCTAACATACAATAATGACATTTTATGCCTCATTCATCCGAAAATACAATTATCCACACCCCCCCCCAACTAGTATATAACTAGGGTCCTAGAGAGTTTTAGTAGACCTGAGAGAGAATACAAAATAATTTTTAAAATTTGCTATCAGATTTGAAAAGGACATTTTAAGCTCGCACAGGAAATTCTCTTCTCTCTTCTGAGGCTAAATATAGTTTTCATTCAACCACATCATGCTTTCAAACTGGTTTAAATGAGTTCATGGTAGTACTGTGTTTCTCAGTACTGAGGGTAATGGATATTCTTGATAGTCAACTTGACTACATCTGGAATGAACTAAAACCCAACTAGCTGGGTACACCTTTGAGGGATCTTTTTCTTAATTAAATAATTATTTAAGGTGGGAAGACCCATTTTTAATCTGGATCTTCTGAAGTGGGAAGAGCCACCTTTAATCTGGACCACAGCTGCTGGCAGCTTACATAAAGAACATAAAAGGAAGCTTGCTTGCTCTTTGCCTACTTGCCCTCACTCTGGTAGGCAAGTCCATTCTTTCACTTTCTTTGGGAATCTTTGGGATTCCAGTGTATACTGAAGACTAGCTGAGACATCCAGCCTTATGGACTGGACAACTACTGGATTCTTGGGCTCTCTGTTGGTAGATAGCATTGTTGGGCCACAGCCTGTAAGTGGTGTGTGTATGTGTGTGCATGTTTCAGTCTATGAGTTCTGTTGCTCTAGAAAACCATCATTAATTCAGATTTTATTACCAGGGTTGTGGGATATTGTTGTGACAGGCTTGACCATGTGTTTTTCAGAAGGACTTGAGAATTTTGGCTGGAGAAGCCATTGGTTCTCAAAGCTTGGTGAGCTGTTCTGTGGTCCTTGGAAGATAAGGGTGTTGAGAGAAATGCAGAGGATGGAGGCCTGGCTTGTGACATTCCAGAGGGAAGGATGAGAGTCACGTAAAGACTTTGTCACAGCTGGTGCATATTTTGGATTAAGAATTTGTGGCTCTGCTCAACTGGAGCTGAAAAATCAGCTATGATTAAGAAGAGACGAGCATCAGTGGACTTGGGGAGGGGCATGCATGCAGAAAGGGGGGGAGGGTGGGACCGGGAGGGGAGGAGGGAGGGGCTTATGGGGGGATACAAAATGAATAAAGTATAATTAATAAAAAAAAAAAAAAAAAGAAGAAGAGACCAGCATCACTGAGGTGAAATCTTCTGGGAAGTGTTTCTGCAGGGTCAGCACACAGAAGCTCTGTTCCAGAAGAGGCCAAGGTTGTTCCTCATGTGTACACCTGAGTTCGGTAGTGTAAGAGTCACCCAGGTGTCACTGGTTTTGAAGGCATAAAGGGGTCACGGCACTGGGAGAGGCCGGGAGAAGCCATTGGTGAAAGTCCAGGCTCAGTAGCATTTGAAGGCCCAGGACTGAAGGGATCATGCAGAGAAGTTGAAGCTTGACACCATGAAGACAACCTGGACGAGGCTATTGGTGAAAGTACAGCCTAGGTGTAGCAGAGACCTCAGCACTTTGGAGATACCAGGATATGGAGTGACTACCAAGAACAGCAGCTAGATACCAGAAGACAAACTGTGTGTGCTGCAGAAGTGGAACCAGAGACTTGACTCAGGCCCTTTGGAGGATCTCAGAAGATTGCGAATGGATCCTAGACACTGAATTATTTACACAGTTGGAGTTTGATTTGGTTGTGACTATGCCCTGGTTCTCCCTTTTTGAAGTAAGAAAGTAGCTAACTTTTTTTTTTTTTTTGAGCCTACAGTTGAGAGAGAGAGACATTAGATTTTAAAAGACTTTGGATTTTAAAAGAGACTGGATTTGTAAATGTTTGAATTTTTAAAGACTGTGGGACTTTTTAAGTTTTTAAATGTTTTATATTGTGATGTCTTTATGTGTGATCTTGGGGATGAAAAAGAAAGGAAAAGTTGTGGCTTAATAGTGTTGTGTTTCTTTGTCAGACTGACAATTTGTGCTGGTTGGTTTTATGTCAATTTAACATAAGCTAGAGTCATTGGAGAGGAGGGTCAATTGAGAAAATGCCTCCGTAACATCAGGTTGTAGACAAAAGGGTAGGGTACTTTCTTAGTGATCAGTGTGGGCAGGCCCAGCCCATTGTGGGGCCATTCCTGGCCTGGCGGTCCTGGGTTCTGTCAGAAGCAGGCTGAGCAAGGCAAGGGGAGCAAGCCAATAAGCAGCACTCCTCCATGCTCCTGCATCAGCTCCTGCCGTCAGGTTTCTGCCCTGTTTGAGCCCTGTCCTGACTTCATTCAGTAATGAACTGTGATCTGGGAGTATAAGCCAAATAAATCCTTTCCTCCCCAACTTGCTTTGGGCATGGTCTTTCATCACAGCAAGAGAAACCCTAAGACCCTGAGATTAGTGTGACCTCATGTCAGGAGATAGGAGACATTATTTATGATCAGTATGCTTCTTTTTTTTTGCCAAGAGCAGCAGAGATTTACTTACTCCCTGAATCTGCAAAGCAAAGTCATATTTAGTGTGGATGTCTGCAAAATCTACTCTTCAGATGAAGACTACCTCTGACACACGTCTTTAATGCTTTATAGTCGAGGTTAATTTTTGGCTTCCTTTTTTTGAGACACAGTTTTCTATATTCCAGGCTAGCCTTAATGTTTCTATTGTTAGATCCGAGAAAAAAAAATTTCCACTGTCTGATTCGATTGTCTGATTAAGCTACTTTTATTTAGACTGGCCAGAAGGTTGCCTCAACCTAAGTCAGGATTTCAGAAAGAAGCCCCTCACTGGCTTTTGAGGTCCCTTTTATGGGGAAGGGTTAGGGTTGATACAAAACAGCTATTGAATTTATCCAGCAGGGTATCAAAGCAGATGCTGTGACTCATAATCAAACTTGGGGCAGAGTGCAGGGAATCTTATGGAGGAAGGGGGAGATAGATCTGGAGGGCACAGGAGCTCTACAAAGAGACCAACAGAGCTAAAAAAAAATCTGGGTCCAGGGGCCCTGCAGAGAGTCATGAATCAACCAAGGGCCATGCATGGAGAGGTCCTAGACCCCCTGTTCAGATGTAGCCCATGGGCAGCTCAGTGTCTAAGTGGGTTCCCTAGTAAGAGGAGCAGGGGCTGTCTCTGACATGAACTCAGTGGCAGGCTCTCTGATCACCTCCTCCTGTGGGGTGCCGCCTTGCCAGGCCACAGAGTAAGAGGTTGCAGCCAGTCTTGATGAGACCTGATAGGCTAGGGTCAGATAGTAGGGGAGGAGGAACCTCCCCTATCAAGGGACTAGGGAAGGAGCTTAGGGGGAAAAGAGGGAGGGAGGGTGGGAGGGATTGGGAAGAGATGAGGGAGGAGGTTACAGTCGGGATACAAAGTGAATAAATTGTAATAAATAATAAAAAAAGAAAAACAAAGCAAAACAGCTGTTGAGATAGTTGGCTGTTATCACCTGGACAGAAGAGTAAGGGTCTCAGGGTTCAAGGCTGCCTGTGGGGTAGATAAGTGTTAAGAATACATCATCTGGTAGGAGAGTCATCATAGATATTCAGGAGTTTAGCAAGGCAAAGGAGTGGATATACATCATGGGGTACAAGTTCAGCATAGGCTGAAAAACATGCTTTGCAGGATACACTAGGTTTAGGAAACAGAAACTTATTTAACAGTGTGTAACAATGTGGTTCTTTTACAACATTGTGGCTCTGGTTTTGGTTTCACCCTACGTAGTTCAGGGTGACTTTGAATTACTATTTCTCCTGCCTGCATTTTCCCCACCACACCTGGCTTATGCGGTACTGGGTACTGAACCTGGGACTTCATGCATGCTTCCGCAAATACTCTCTCAACTTCTACGTTTCCAGGTCTACGCCGAGCGTTTTCTACTTTTGTCACAGACTCCGGCCTAAGACAAAGATTCTGAACGATGGAAATACAGGTGGCTGGCAAGGACCACCTACAACAGGGAGGGAACCCCTGGCTGGGTTGGGAGGGAGCCTGACCCTCCCTGGCCTCACACGTGACCTCGCCCCCCGCCCCCCGGGGTAGCGCGGATCCCGCCCCCTCCGCTCCTGCTGGGGGAAGGGGAGGCGCATGCGCGCCCCGTGTTAGTGATGGAGGAGAGAAGATGGCGGAAGCGGAGTGAGTGACTTGCTGGTGACTGCTGTCGTAACCGGGGGTGGGGGGGGGCGAGTGAGGGCAGCGACACGTCCCCCTGAGGCAGCTCTCAGGGCTCCGAGGCTGGCAGTGCAGGGTCGAGGAGAGGCGAGAGCCGCGGCGTGGTGGAGGAGCCCGGCCGGGGGAGGAGGAGGAGCAGGAGGAGGAGGAGAATGGCAGCTCCAGTCAGCCTCCCCTCGGGAGTGCGTATGGCACCGTCCGGTCCCGGGGCCGCGCGGCCCTAAGCTCAGGGCCACCTGAGGGACCCGGGCTTCCGGAGTCTCCCGGGACGCGGGCCCTGGGGCGCTCTTCCGGGGCTGTCATTCCAGCCTGGGCCCCGCCGAGGTGTGACGGGCAGGGCGGGCGCCGCCAGGCCTCCTGCGGGCCCGTCGCCGTCCGGCCCGCTGCGCAGCGGGACCGCGGGGAGCCGGGGGAGCCGGGGGAGGCGGCCGGCCGGACGCCAGCTGCGGCCCGGCGAGGCCGAGGCCCCCTCGGGGCTTGCGCTGCAGCGGCGTGCTGCCTCCCTCCCTGGAGGGCCGCATTCTTGCGTGGCGCTGTGATGGTATGCTCAGTTAGCGACTGGAAACTTAGCAGGCTCCCGGGTAGGCCTCTGCTGTGCCAGAGCTGAACGCTGCAGGTATCTCCGTGCCAAGCCCGTGCGCTTACCAGAAGTGCTCTTTTGTAGCAGGCCTCGAAATGCAGTGCGATGGTGTGGCCGATTGCACTCAGCAATGTCTAGAATTAATGTCTAGGTTCTCTGACCATTTTTGGTTAGTCAGAGCTTCTTGCCCGGCTCCGTTGGGCCTGAGAGCACAGCTGAGCAGAATCAGACTTGAAGGACCAGGGTTTACTCTGGCCTTTGGATGTCATTGGTACATGGTGCAAAAGTAGTTTGATCAAGATTTTACCTTACTGCTGATTGTGTGTAATATGGAGCAGGTACCATAGGATACTGTGGTTTGCTCACTGGAAGGCAATTAAAAAATAGCAAAGTATAAAAATGTACGATTCAAGTTCTAATAAAGGAAGTCAGTGAGAAATCAGTCCCCTCCGTTTTTCCTTTCACTTTTCTCCCTTGAAAATTGGAGATGATAATTCAGGTGTGGTGGGCTGGAGAAACCTGAGTCTCATCGAGGTCAGCCTGAGCTAAATAGTGATACTTTTTTTTTTTTTTTTTTAATAAATGTTTTTGTTACGTTCTTGTCGACAATGGGAATGCCAGTTGACAGCTACTGTGGTTTTAGTTTGTAACAACATGGAAGCCTTTAGAATTGACCTGAGAGGCTTGCATTTATTAAAGTATAAATTTTTTTTTTGGGGGGGGGGTCAGACTTTGTACCACAACATAAATGACATAAGTTTGTAATATTGGAGGGAAAAGATTATAAAGTTTGATACAAAAATGTACTTTACTGGTTGTAATTTTCATTTGCTACTTTATTTCCCTAAGTCGACTTAGGAAATAAAGTAGCAAATGAAAATAACTTACATCCTTACAAAAATCTTTTTTTTTTATTTTCACAAAGAACTGCTCTAAAATTTGAGGGTATAGAATATAATTTATTCACTTTCCTATGTACAACCAGTAAAGTACATTTTTAATTATTTCTTGTGTAGCCCAGGCTGGCCTCTCACTATGTAGCCAAGGATGACCTTCCCTAAGTGCTGGAATTACTTGTGTGTGTGTGTGTGCATGCGTGCGTGTGTGTGTGTGTGTATGTATATGTATGTATGTGTGTGTGCGCGAGAGCGCCACCATACCAGGTTTACTAAGATTTTGTTTTAAATAACCATATAGCAGCTACAGTTAAAGTAGTTTTTAAGGATCTTCTCTGAAATATAGCTAAGAAAAACTCTTGATGGGTGAAGAGGTGGCTCAGCAGTTAGGTGCATCTGTTCTTGCAAAGGACCCAGGTTCAGTTCCCCACACCCACATGGTAGCTCAGTACTGTCCAAAACTCCCCCTATGCATGTACAGGAGCACACAGGCACACACATTTTCTCTCTCACTCTCTCTCTCTCTCTCACATATATTCTTGACATTGCTTAATCCCCTCCCTCTCCCTCAGGTTAATATTCTCTCACTGCCTTCCTTATCTTTTAGGTTCAAATCTATCTTTATATTGGAAAATTTGTTTTCATTCAGTACATTTTTTTTTCCCTCCCCCATTTTCTCTCAGATTCTCCTCTACCTCCCTACCGACCCAACTTTATGTTCCTTTTCTTTTTAAACAAACAAACAAACAAACAAACAAACATAAAACCAAAAAACAAAACCTCAGAAAAATCTGGGCAGTAGGAGGCCCACACCTTTAATCCTAGGCACTCGGATCACTGTGAGTTTGAGGACAGGATAGTCTAAAGAGCGAGTTTCAGTACAGCCAGGCCTTATACAGAGAAACACTGCCTCAAAATAAATAAATAAATGAATGAATGAATGAATGAATGAATAAATAAATAAATAAATGGAATAGAAAAGGGAGAGAGAGCCTCAGAACCCCTCACTCCCCCAAGAAAACCCCACTAAAAACAAAAACAAAAAAAAAAACAAAAAACAAAAAAAAAAAAAAAACAAGCAGGACTGGGCAGTGGTGGCACATGCCTGTAATCCCGCAGCACCCAGGAGGCAGAGGTAGGTGGGTCTCTGTGAGTTTGAGGCCAGCCTGGTCCACTCTGTGAGTTCCAGGACAGCCAGGGCAAAAACAAAACAACAAAATAAATAAGCAAAATACTAATTCTAGATAAAAGTTGTCAAAACAAAGCAAAATGAAGCAAAAAATCCAAAAATACTATTGAGTTTATTTTGTGTTGGCTAACTATTCCTAGTCATGGGACCTGCCCTGAAGTGTGGGTTGATATATCCAGTGACACTCCTTTGGAAAGGTGGTTTTCCCATTGGCAGCGGGTATAAGTTGCAGATAGCTTCTTGTCCAAGTCCACTCCCCCCGTTTTCAAATCTGTCCCTTTTCAATAATGCAGACATAAACTTCAGTCTAGACTTTGTCTCAACTACTGTTGTGAGTCATTTGAATTTGGTTTAGCAGATAATAACTATCAGATGTATTCTGTATCTGAGGGAAGTATGTCTCTGTTCTTTTTGGTGACTGTGTGCTCGGTTTATTTTGTATTAAGGCTTCCTATGAATGGAGACTCTTGACCATTTCTTTGTAGTGAGTATTCATTACAGAGTGCTCATTAGCAATGCTGGTCCTTTGTGTTACACGCCAGATTTAAGGACCACAGCACCGCTATGGATACCGAGCCAAACTCTGGAACGTCCGTGTCAACAACAGCCAGTAGCACCACCACCACCACCATCACCACTTCCTCGTCTCGGATGCAGCAACCACAGATCTCTGTCTACAGTGGCTCAGACCGACATGCTGTTCAGGTATTGCAGCTATAGCATGGGGAGGTTAAGACTGAAGATGGCATGCTCTTTTGTGCCTAAGTCAGCTGTACGTGTTGATTCCGTCCTCAGATAGTAGAATTGTGAAAGTCCAGGCAGGGAGTGTAGCTCAGTGGTTAAGTGCTTGCTACTCTGTGTTTGATTTCTAGTACTACCAAAAATCAAGAAAAAGAAAAAAAAACCCATTAATTTTTAAAACCAATAAATGTTTTGGATACTTGTACTATTGAGAGGGCTTACATTTGTCAATAGGAAGCTTATAAGATTACATGTCAGGAAAATTATAACTGAATGTCTCTAAGAACTGCTACAAGAGTGAAGATATTACCTGTGAGTTATTTAGAATAGCTGCCTTTTTGGCTTATTTTATGTTTTAGTCCAACATATTGACTTACAGAAAACCTTTCACATTCAGGTGTTGTAAGAACAGTAAGCAGGAAGGTAGAGAGTGAAGAGAATAGTTTGAAAGATTTTTAGTGTAGTCACTTAGTTGAGAAAGTAAAGTTGATTCAATTGAACTTTATACCAATAGAGACAATATGGTGTTGTTTTAAAAAAAGCTGAGGGTTGCTGTCTCAGAGGTTCTTTGTTTGAAGTCTGTTTTCATTATCCTCAATATCCATGTGCCCTTGAGTGAAAGACATAATCATCTCCTTCAGTCCCAGGAAACAATAAAGTGCAGCTAGCACTGTGTAGTTTTATCAGTTACTATGAGAATTAAATGAAACATTTACAATGTATGGGAAACATTACAGGTCTCTAATAAATTACAGTAGGGCCTATTGAACAGTTTTTATGTGCCAAGCATTTAATGAATGCTTTCCTTACGTCGATTATTTTATTTAATCCTCACTAGACCTCTATACAGTAAGCATTTTACAAATGGGAAAACCAGTGTTTTAAGTAAGTTAAATGGTATTTCCACACTCACAATGCTGGCAGGTTTTCTAACTTCAGCTTCTGCTGTTAACTACTTTGAGTTCTTGTTCTTCTATATTACCTGCCTTCATTTTTCTAGGATTCCCATTTATTTATTTTTATCTTTTGTATGTTGTTGTTTTGCCTGAATGTATGTCTGAGTGAGGGTGTCAGATCCCCTGGAAAAGGAATTCCTGACAGCTGTGAGTTGCCATGTGGATGCTGGGAATTGAACCCCAGTTCCTCGGGAAGAGCAGCCAGTGCTTTTAATCGCTGAGCCATCTCTCCAGCCAGGATTCTCAACTGTTACAATTGCATTCTTTTTGTTTTTTTGTTTGTGTTTGTTTTTTGAAACAGGGTTTCTCTGTGTAGCCCTGGCTGTTCTGGAACTTCATCTGTAGAACAGTCTGGCCTCGAATTCACAGAGATCCTCCTGCCTCCTCTGGGATTAAAGGCGTGAACCACCACTGTCTGACTTTTTTTTTTTTTGTGCTGGACTTCTTTATAGAGTTTTGTATTCTATTTTAGTTTATTCTTCTAAGTGCAGGGTCAGCATGTTCTCCTGTAATCGCCTTCCTCCCTGTGCTGGGCTGCTCCCTGTGCTCGGCTCTTCCAGGGTGGGTATTCTAGTATGAGGGCTATTTAACTCTGCTGTAGTTTAGAATTTAGTTCTGAAGTCATTGTAGAGAACTGTTGGAACCTCGACAGCCCAGCAGAGATTCAAGTTTGAATGCATAGTGTGCTTCTAGTGTCTGCTTTTTTTCTTTGCGGTGAGTGATACATGGAAGAATATGATATTAGCATACAAACGGTATGATTTTTGACTGTGCCAGTTTTTCATCTTTACTTAGGTGGGATAAATTAATAAATGAAACATCACTAGAGACATTACAAGTGCTGACATGTCTCACAAGAAGCTAAAACTCTAGTTATTATGGCTCATTGCCTCATCTAAAATTTTTCTAAGCCACGTTCATCGAACTAAAGTAGTTTTTTAACTTTCAAGTTTTTTTTTTTTTTTTTTTAGTCACATGGATTTTCTTTAACCTGGTTTTGGTAGAAAAACAAAATAAGAATGGTGTATTGTGCCTTTAGCTTGTGATTTCCGTGCCAGGTATCTGGCAGTGACTAGGAGATCATGCTGACACAGGAAATTTCTATACTGATAGAAATAGGCGTGAAATCAGTTATTCACTTGTTGTTGTTTGAGCTTTTGGAATTTTATTATAGAATTTGAAGATCATATATAGATTTATCTGACCAAAGAGAAACACTGACTTCTGAGTCGTTCAGTGTTTCACCCAGTCTCTTGCTGTGAGGAATCGACTAGGAGTCTGGGAGAAGAGTGGTGAGCAGGAAGTCTGTAGTGGGAGAGAGACAGGAACACATGCAAGTGAACAGCAACTCGTGGAACTGTGAGTGAGGACTCGTGGTGTTAAGTAGACGTTCTGAGTTACCTGTCATGGGTATAACCTTCCTTCTCCATTAGACCTTAAACCCTGTGTACTGCCGAGGGCAGAGGTCTGCACTGCCAGGGGCACGGTGCGGGACCCCTGAATGGATGGAGGGAGGGTTTTTCTGTTGTCTTTTTAGAAATCTTGGCCTCTGTTTAGGCTCAGATTTTACATCTGTTTATAATTGCTATGATTTAAGATTTTTATGAGTTTATTTTAAAAAATTACTCTTACTAGATTGTTTTTTGGATTTCTCTGTGTAAGAGTGTTTTGCCTGACGTATGTATGTGAACCAAGTGCATGTGGGGCCCGCCCCAGAAGAGTGTGTCTAGTCCTCAGAACTGCAGCTATGCATGGTCGTGAGCACCAGGTGGGGCTGGGAACTGAATCCGGGGCCTCTGGAAAAGCGATTATTCTTAACAGCTGGGCCAGCTCTCCAGCCCTATATTTATTTTTTATGTGTGTGTTTTGCTTGCATGTATGTATATGTGTGTACCATGTGCATGCTGCTTGCCTGCAGAGGACAGAAGATGGCTTTAGATGGTCTGGAACTGCCGTTATAGACAGGTGTGAACTGCCACATGGGTGCTAGGGATCATACTCAGGTCTGTAACCCACTCTCCAGCTCTAGACATTTTTAAAATATTCTTCCACCAGAGTCCCAGGAGCTGGCAAGAGAGCTCAGCCCATAAAGGTGTTTGTCTTCCAGCCTGACAGCCTGAGTCTGTCAGAACCCACATGATGGAAGAAGAGAACCAACTCCTAAAAGTATCCTCTGACCACACACATGCCATGGCATACCAGTACACAAATAAATAAATGCTTTTTCAAAAATGATTAAGAGCATTCCTATGTGAAAACAAAGAATTGAATATTTTTTAAAAACTTTAAATTATTGAGTCATTTTCAAAGATTTAAATTTTATATAATGTTTAATATAATATTGCAGGACTTTCAGACACGTAGAAAGGCCAAACCAGTCATCTCTAAAATACTGACCTTGTTATCTCCTTGAGTATTTCAGGAAGTTTACTGAATCTTTTTTTTTTTTTTTTTTCCCCAGAGCTGAGGACCAAACCCAGGGCTTTGCATTTGCTAGGCAAGCGCTCTACCACTGAGCTAAATCCTCAACCCTTCAGGAAGTTTAAGACTAAGTAGTATCCTACTCAAAATGTTGCTCTTCATCTTGTGATGTATTTGGTACTTATTATCCTATAGCTCTATGTGCATTGTGCATTGTGCATCCTATAGCTCACTGTGCATTGTAGAGCACAGTGCTCACTAGGTAGACCTGTAGCAATTTACATTAAATTTAGAATTCAAGTTCATTTTAAAGCTAAAACCCACTTCTTTACCCTTGTCATTTTTATGTACTTGTTAAGACACGTGGCTGGTAGTCATTGCATTTGTCTATGTTACTGTTTGGAATGGCTGCATAGTGAAACTATTCTTTATACATATGCCCTGCCAGCTACCAAGTAGTATACAGAAAGGATGTAAAACTTAAATTCTTCCAGTGTAGGAAGGTTTATTTTCCTAGTCAGTAGTAGTAGTATTCTTTTGGATCTTTGTCTACCCGAAAGTTGTAAATTACTTAAAAATTACCAAATCCATTAAATTGTAAAGTTTTCAACTACTAATGAGAGTTGAGATTTCTTCACATATTTGTCCCATTCCATTTTAGGTGAATGGTAATTTAATTAGTATAATGAGAACATCCTAGGTAAATGTGTCACTAACTTTAATTACATCAAATAGTAAAGTACTTAAAAATAGTAAAAACTGCCACATTTTATACTAAAGCTTCTGGTTAAGTTAATGGTTTATCTGGAGTTATGGTCGAGCCTGTGCTTAGCATGCTTGAGGTCTCGGCAGCAGACAGATGAAGACAAACCAGGATGATGGTTTGACGTGGGCTCTTTCCCTTGTAACAGGTGATTCAGCAGGCCTTGCATCGGCCCCCCAGCTCGACAGCTCACTACCTTCAGCAGATGTACGCGGCTCAGCAACAGCACCTGATGCTGCACACAGCCGCCCTTCAGCAGCAGCATCTGAGCAGCTCCCAGCTCCAGAGTCTTGCTGCTGTCCAGGTGAGCATAAGCAGATAGTCTGTGAAGCCACAGTTTATAGTAGATGATTGCTGTGAGCGTTCTTGAATGTCCTGTGACATTTTCCCTGGAGGAGATGGGTTAGTAGGCTGGTTCACTGGGAGGAGAATAGGTATGTTTGTATGTTGCTCTTTATTTAAGTTGGATAAGTGTTCTATCTATGGTGTTCTTAATCTCCAAAAATTTAGGTACAATATTGAATACTTAAGGATACATGAATTATATTTTTTTAAACCAAAAGTAAGTTTATTTGTTTTCTTATGTAGGTAGTTTATATTTGTTAAAGAATGTAAGGTGGGATAAAAATCCCAGCGGTAGAAGTAGAATTGTTCATTCTTTCTACACTTGTCAGTCCTGCTCTGTAGAGGCGCTTATGTGGCAGCAAACATGTCTGTGTGTGCCTTTCTTTCTAGAATCTGAAAATCAAACCAAACCAAAACATTTTCAGTCTGGTAGGCCGTCTTTAATCCCAGAATGTGGGAGGCACAGGCAGGCAGAGCTCTCTGAGTTTGAGGCCAGCTTGGTTTACAGAGTGAGTTCCAGGACAGCAAGGATTACACAGAAAAACTCTGTCTCAAAAAACAAAACAAAACAAGAAACTACCAAAATATTTTTAAATTAATATTATACAATCTTAACTTTTTGTGATATCTAGTTAATGTTAAATCTCAACAGAAAATAATTTTAATTCGTAGACCCCGAAAAAAACATATTTCTGTAATTCATAGATACCAGCTCTTACTTTTTTTTCTTTCTTTTTTTTTTGGTTTTTTGAGGCAAGATTTTTCTGTGTCACTTTGTAGCCAGGTTGGCCTCAAACTCACAGAGATTGATCTGCCTCTGCCTTCCAGAGTGCTGGGATCACAGGTGTGCGCCACTGTGCCCAGCTTTACTTCTTTTCAATAGTATACTTTTTAATTTATTTCTTTCTTTTCTTTTCTTTTTTTTTTTTTTTTTAAGACACGGTCTTCTTACTATGTGCTCCTGGCTGGCCTCAATCTCATAGAGATCCACCTGCTTCTACCTCCCAAATGCTGAGATTATATGTGTGTTCCACTATGCCAGGCTTCAATAGTGAATCAAAAATAATATGTTAAATAGCAGCTGTGTTTATGATTTGAGGAAATTGAGACCCACTAGCTGTTGGTGTAGCTCAAGTTTCAGCCCTTGCTGTTCTGGAACTCCCTCTCTAGACCAGGTTACTCTCAGACTCGGAGATCTGCCTGCCTCCGCCTCCTGAGTGCTGGGAGCATAGGCGTGCGCCGCCGCCACCACCACCACCACCACCACCACCACCACCACCACCACCACCACCTGACTTCTTTTTCTTTTTTAACCAAATTATTAATGGTTTTGATGTGTTGTCTGTGATCACACATGAGTGTGAGTGTGTATCCATGTGTGCACACGTGGAAACCAGAGCAGGATGGCAGGCATCTTTCTTAGCTATCTTTCTCTGCAGCTCTGCCACCTCCCTGCCTTGAAAATGGTCTCACAGGCACCAGAAGCCCCCTGTTTCATTAGGCTGTAGCTTGCAAGGTCTCCCTGCCTTTTCCTTCATTTCTGGGCTTAAATGAATACGATAGCATGCCTGGCTTTTATGTGAATGCTAGGAGTTCAAATTCAGTGTCTTCAGGCTTACGGAGCAAATAGTCTTACACAGTCATCAGCTCTCAGTTTCATTTTCATAATGATGGAGTAGGAAACTGTACTTCAAAGATAACAGCAGAGTAAGAATGATGCTGAGTTGTTTTTATGGTCTGGAGAATGATCTACCATAGTCATATTATTTATTTTGCTATTTTAGTTTTTCCATACAGGGTATTTCTTGTGTAGCCTTGGCTGTCCTAGAACTCACTCTGTAGACCAGGCTGGCCTCGAACTCACAGAGATCTGCTTATCTCTGCCTCCTGAGTGCTGGATTTTAAGGCATGTGCCATCACTACCTGGCATATTTTTCATTTTGAATGAATGAATCTATTAAGTAGATAGCAAGTGAAAGGGAAAAAAAATAGAAAGAAACACATTATCAAATCAGGTGCTCAAAACAGCCAGCAGTGAAGGCTCTACTGAGGCCGTCAGTTGGTGTTCCTAACAGAGTATCCTGGATGGAGACATGTCCCCTTAGGCAAGGCCTCCAAGTGCCTGTATAAAAACAGCAGAAAAGTAATACCATCCAACCAGGGTCTTGCAGACATCCAGCAGAGACCCAGCTGGGGAAGCCCTGTGAAGGTCACGAGCTGGGCAGTGGATGTGTGCAGTTGGAACAGAGTATTCCTTCTGGTGAGGCTGCCAACTAATATAATGCACAGCAATGTAGAGAGATGATATCTTCATCAAATTGGTGCTTACTACCTCTAACAAAAACCAACAGGAAAATAAGGCAGTTATCTAGAGTTTCCAATTGAGTGTTCTCTGCATGATTGAACTCTACTCACACTCCTTCCCACCAAGGCTGAACTTGTAGCTTTTCTTTTTCTCTTATTTTACTATTTACTTATTTAAAGATGTTATTATTTATTTATATGTATATGTGTGTTTGTATGCACACCTGTATGCTTGTGCCTGTGGAGGACAGAAGAGAGCATTAGATCGCCTGTAGCTGGAGTTACAGGCATTGTGAGCCACTTGCCATGGATGCTGGGAATCCAGCTCTGATCATCTGTAAAAGTAGCTCTCTTTACTACTGAGTCATTATTCCAGACCCACTGCAGGCACTTTTATTTCATGGGATAGACAAAAATAATATCAGGTGGGAATGGCTTATCTTCTAGCTGTTTTCCAAGACACAATGTTTTTATTCTTGGGCTATTTTGTTTCTTTCTTTGCTTTGTGTCACAGAGTTAGTGGGATCCTGCCCATTCCCAGGCAAGGGGTCTCAGTAGACACTTGACAAAATAAACATGCTTGGGGATGAAGTTTGTCCGAGGCAATCCCACTTCTAGTACTAATTAGCTGCTTGGTGAGCTCAGGTAACATATGGCAATTTACCAATATAATATACATTATGAAAGTGCAGCTAATAAAACAAGATTAGGGTCAGTGAGATGACCGGGAGGGTAAAGTACCTGTTGCTAAGCTTGGCAACAAATTTGATGAACTGAGTTTGATCCCTGGGACCTACAAGGTAGAAGTTGTGTTCTGTGAAGCACATGTATGCAGTAACACAATAAATACATACAGAAATGTAAAGTAAGACTAGCCAGGTGGGGAAGGAGAGGGCTTTGTTTTCACCTTTCAGTTTTGTTTTTTCTTTTTAAAGATATGGCCAGGATCAAGCCATGTTGACAATAAAACAATTTGTTTTATACATGGACTTTAGAATTTTTATTGTAGTTTTATATTATGTGGCTCAAGGAAGTGTTTTTTTGTTTTGTTTTTGTTTTGTGTTTTTTTCCTCCCTTGCCATGTTTTCTGTAGACAGTCAAGCACTCAAAACAGAAAGGAGCTAAAGATGTTTGACACAACTAGCTGTTTCTATCAAGGTTCTGATAGCTCAAGGAAGTTTTTAGCTTAATGGTTTTTACATATTACAATAGTTTTATTATTTTAGGCAAGTTTGTCCAGCGGAAGACCATCTACATCCCCAACAGGAAGTGTCACACAACAGTCAAGCATGTCCCAGACATCTGTAAGTACCCTAAACTTTCTCCTGAATTTAACATTTCTAATTGTTGTTTTCCAAAATTAAACTTGTTATCACGAAGCTGCTATTAGTTAATGAGTTCCTAGAAATTGTAAAGTTGGAGAATTAAATTTTTAAATATATGAGGTTTTTTAAAAGAAAGGCTGATTTTTACATTTATTATGTTTATGTGTTTATCTGTGCAGGAATATTTGTTTGTATATGTAGATGTCTAAGGAGGCTGGAGACATCGGAGTTAAGTTATAACTTAAGAGTTATAGTTACAGGCTACTGTAACTATATGTATTCCTATCAGTTGAAATCCTCTAATCCAACACTAATCCTCTGCAAGAAAGTACATCCTTAGTCATGGAATTGTCTCTAGCTCTTGAAAATCCGAGTATATTCTTACACATTTTTCTCATTGATTATATCTGGTGTCTTGTGAGTCTCACTTCTTTCAGTTTTAAGAATTTATTGGAAGCCTGAAGTACTGAAAAACATGTTATCTTTGAAGGACTAAAAAGCACTAAAGTAGACACACACACACACATGCACACATACACAAGAGAAAAAAAAGATTCTTTTGAGTGTTTTGTAGTTTGGAACAAATTTCTAAGAATCCATTTGAGATAGGGGTAATTTATTTTGAGAAAGGAGTAAAAGAAAGCACTTTTTTTGTATTACGCATATGTGGTAGTTTGAATAGTAATGGCCACTATAGACTCATGTGTTTGAATGCTTGGCCCATAGGGAGTGGCACTATTAGGGGGTGTGGCCTTGTTGAAGTAGGTGTGGTTTTGTTGGAGGAAGTATGTCACTGTGGAGCTGGGCTTTGAGGGTTCATACATGCTCAAGCTAGGCCTAGTGTGGCACACAGTTCCTCCATGCTGCCTGGGGATCAAGATGTAGCACTCTCAGCTCTCTCTCCAGCACCATGTCTGCCTGTACAGCTCCATACTTCCCACCATGATGATAATGGTCTAAACCTCTGAGACTATAAGTCAGCCCTAATTAAATGTTTTCCTTTATAAGAGTTGCCATGGTCATGGTATTTCTTTATAGCAATAGAAGACCTAACTAAGACAGCATATAGCCTAGGAAATGTGAACTATTTCTTGGAATAAAAAAAAAAAAATCTATATAGACATGTTAGCAAATGTCAGCTTTTTGGTTTGATATAATTTCAAATTAAAACAGTAATAAAAAATTTCTGTATACTATCTATTCAGGTTCACCAATTTTGTTTGTGTACACAACATTGTCTTTTAAGTTTAATTGGTACAGTGCAGGTTATTCTTAACTTTTTAAGCAAAAATATTATGGGCCAGATAGTTCTCTGTTGTCAGGGGCTGTCAGAGGCATTTCAGGAGGCAGCATCCCTACTGTCTACAGCTAGATAACAGCAGCAGCTGTGCTTCCTCCTTTCCAAGAGCAACTGAATACGGCTCTTGGTTGACAAGCTGCAGTTGAAAACCACTGAGTTTTCCTAAGAAAGTCCTTGTAATTAATTATTCTTTTCTGGTCCAAGGTGGTTTTATGGAGTTGAAGATGAAGTTGCATTTACCTAAACTGTCTGTCTGTCTGTCTACCTATCCATCCATCTATCCATCCATCCATCCATCCATCCATCCATCCATCCATCCATCCATCCATCTATCGTCTGTCATGTTTGGTTCTAACCTACTTCACTGGGCTATCTAGTCTCAGGTTTCTGGTCATCCAGGCAGTGTAGGTCATGAGTTCCCTCTTGTGGCATCAGCTCAATTTAAACCAGACATTGGTTGGCCATTTCAACAAGTTTTATACATCTTGCAGGCAGGCCTGATGGTTGGTCAAAGATTTTGTGGGTGGGATGGTATCCACCTGCAGAGTACCTTCCCATGCCAAAAAGACTAGAAAGTAGTGGTGAAGTCTCTATGCAGGCACCAGCTCAACCTCTGTATACTCATTGAGCTGTGTAGATGTTGTCTCTGGCAATGAGGCCCCACTATCAGTTTTGGAAAGCAACCCTCTATTTTAGTATTAGCCTGGGTTGTTTAAGGATCTTCATGAGACCCCTCAGACAAAACTCCACTGAGAACGCAACCCAGTCCCACTGTTAGTATTTATATAAAAATGCCATGCACACAACAGATCTCATGAAAACGTTTACTTGGGGTGAGGGAGCAGAAGAGTGTTAGGGCTTGAGTAAGCCATGAAGGAAGCGAGACAGAGACAGAGAGAAAGAGAGATGGGGGAAAGGGGACCCCAACAGAGAAAAGGGAGATAGCAAGAGAGGAGAGAGAGCAAGAGAAAGAGGTAAGTGCTAGAGAGGGAGGTGAGAGGCATAAGAGGCAGGGGTCCATTTATAGCTCTTGCGTGACTGAACCTTGTCTACCCCACACACCTGGCAGGCAACATATGATATCATAGGTTACTAGGCAACCAAGAAGCTGGCTACCTAAGTGCTAACACCCACTACTGGAAGCCTTACTGGCTACAAAAGATGGCCAGTTCAGACTCCCTATCCTCCATTATTATGTGTCCTCACTAGGGTCACTCTTAGAGATTACAGAAACTTTCCACTACACTAGGTTTTCACACTGGACCCCCAAATGCCCCCTATTCCAGCTGTCTCTTTCCGTACTCTCTCCCTTCCTCCCTCCCTCCCCATCTGATCCCTCCTGCTCCTGTCCCCTCCCTCAAACCTGTTTGGTGGGACATTTTCTGAAGTTTTACATGTAGTGAGACAGTGGTAATAAACCTGAACATTTCTATTTCATACCTTTTATAATTTTGTATTGAATAATTATAGGAATTTTGAAAACAAGGGTGATTGTTTTCAGAATTTCAGCTAGTAAGCCTGAAAGTGCAGCTTGATCATAGAGTACTTGCCTAGCATGCCAGACTGCAAAGACTGAAAGTAAATACCTACTTCATTACCAAACAGAAACAGAGGAGCAGTAGCAAGCGTTAGAACTGGGGTTGGGCAGGAAGCCATGACGTGCTAAAAGGACAAAAGTCACCCTTGACTGGCCCCAGTAATGGATTGTGTGAGCCACCTAACAAAGACTTGTTTCAGGTGCTGCTTTGAAGAAACGGAACACTAAGTAAAAATAGAAAACCAATTCCAGATTTATTAGAAAGTTAACAGATTAAAATTTAAAGAAAATCCACACAAATCCGAGAACTGAATAATTCATTGGAAAAAAAAAAAACCACCAAAATAGCATTAAGAGCAAAACTAACCAGGCAAAACAAGAATCTGTGGACTTCAAAGACAGAATACTTCAAAATACAGCCTCTCGGTAGCCTGTGATCTCCAGGAATGGCGGTGGTTGTAGCTGATGCAGCACAGGGAAGCCTTTGCCCCCATCTCTGATGCTGAGGTTTGGATGGAGCTAAAGGCTTTGCAGTCAACTGCCAGTGATTTGGGCCAAGATGCCAGTTTATCTCATAGAGGCCGTGAGTCCCTATCTAGTGCAAGGGCAAGTTCAAAGACTTAGTCCAAGGGTACCAACCTAGAATTTGGGGCTGGTAGGATGTGACTAGGGCTGGGCTTTGCTTTTGCAGGGAAAGGACTTTCCTTCCAGCTGACAATGTTGCTCTTGTGTTGTGCTGCTTGGGGCTGGGGGAGGGGTAGCAGGGTTCCTCCTACTCTCCTCAACAGCATCTTTTCTTGCTGTGCTACAACCGTCTCCTGTTCTCTAACCTGGTATGTGTGGGTCTCATGAAGGGAATTTCACGTTTAGATACTTTAAGTTGATATTTTCTCTGGTGGAAGGTTGCTGGAGAGCTCTGCTTCACCATTTTGTTCATCAAATGTTAATGTATCAGATTGTATTAAAGGGCTATGCAGGGAGTGTGAATGAGGATTTTATACCCACACATGGTAAATGCCTGAAATTTTGGTTCTTAACAGGTGTCTCCCTCTACCCTTCCAGTTTGTCAGGGCAGGTATAACAGCTTCCTAGTTGCTTCTCAGAATATGTAAGTGGAGCCTTTTACATACTGATCAGCCCTTTTCAGGATCTTGTCTCAAAATAGGGATTTCCCTTCCAGCTTTAGCATGTAACAACAGGTCAGCTATCTGTTAGGACCTTCTATCTCTTAGGCACAGCATACCTAGAGTTGCCTCAGTGCCAGTTGTTGCTGCATGTCTGGATGTGAATTTCTCACTGAGCCCTGCACACTTCCCTCCCCTGCTCCTTTGTTTACTTTAAAACTCCATTTCATTTTCATATCGATTGAACATTTGAGAGTGTCTTTGAGCACGTGGATGTGTATTCACTTCTGGACCAGAGGTCTAAAACTTCTTAATTTTATTTTCTGCTTTGTTACACAAAAAAGGATTTAAGGTGAGGTTGAGTTATATTCTCTGTTTGAAATTTAAGAATGAATGATACATGAACATGATTATGGATTGGAAAGATGAAAAAGGGTTTAAGTATCTCTCTCTCTCCCTGTTTACCTACTCCTTTTCATTTTTCCTTCACAGTTGTCAAGCAAGTTGCCAGTTTCTAATGTATTTCTAGGGATTTACTAGACTACACTGATCTTTACTGTTTTGAGCTAGGCTCGTACTATATAGTACAGCTGTTCAGCAACTACAAGTGTAGCCCAGCTCAGACTCACCTGGAACAAACAGTCTTTCTCCCTCAGCCTTTCTAGTACTTAAAGTATAGGCTTGTGCCCTCGTTCAGCCACATATTAATTTTCTTTTCTTTTTTTTTTTTTTTTTGTTTAGACCAGATTTCATGTACCCCACATTTGCCTAGAACCTACTTAGTAGCCCAGGGTTGGCTTTTAACCCATGAACCTTCTTCTTCAGCCTTCTAAGTGCTGGGTTACACGAGTCACTATATCTGCTTTCTAATTAATTCTTAGGCTTTAAGTGTTTATATACTAATTTTGTAGCCAATATTCAGGACTTTTCCATCTGTTTGACAGGTAGAAATTTTATTTTCTTCTGCTTTAACAGCTTTTAAGTTAAAACATTCTACTAGTTTTATGTTACTTGCATAATGTTTATATATGAAGAGATTTTTGTATTTTGATTTTTATTCATGTCAGAAGCTCTTTGAAATGTGACAGTGTGATAAAATAATGTATTAAAGTTAGAATTTTGAAGTTATTTACTCGGTGAAATATTAAAATAATTGAACATTACCTCTAATTTGGGGAGGTAGTAGTTATGACATTTTAAGATGCTACAAGTCTTACTGAAATGTGGATATGTTCAAGAGTTGTTCCAGTTACTAAGCAGTCTCTGCTGTTTTTGCTTATATGCAAACAGTAGCCCAAAGTGAAAGGTTCTGTCAAAGGTCAAAGCCTCTCTTTGAGGTTTCCACTATTGTCTACCTAGCTTCAGCTTGGTAAAATTGAGGAACACAGAGGCAAACATATGACCTATTATGTTTTCTATCTTAGATTAACCTTTCCACTTCTCCTACACCTGCTCAGCTGATGAATCGTTCCCAGACTTCCAGTTCTACCAGCGGCAGTATTACCCAACAGACTATGTTGCTAGGGAGTACCTCTCCAACGTTAACGGCCAGCCAAGCTCAAATGTATCTCCGAGCTCAAATGGTAAGATGCAAGATACCAGCTTTACAGTGTCTAAGGACTGGAGAGTTCAAATTTTTCTGGAGTTGATGCAATGAAGCATTTTTAATATTTAAGTTACTTAACAAGTGTGTATGAGTGGTGCATATGCTTAACCTTTGTACATTTATAAATGCACATAAAAATTCCACCTTGAATTAGTAGGCCTTTTGGTAAAAATAGTTTTTAATACTGAGTTACCAATTTTAAGAACTTTTAAAAATATTTTGACATCTCCACAATTGAAGAGCTCTCAATAATTGATGCCATCTTATGGTTTTAGTACCTATGGTACTAAATGATATAAAATCATTTATTGGGCTGACATCAAAGATTTGAGGAAATAGTTGGAAATATTAAAAACTTAGTTTTTAACTATAAAATTTTGTCCTAGGACCTTCTTAAATCTGGATTGGAGTTCTGATAGTTTTCCAGGTAGTTTATAGCTTTGATTGTTATCGTCTCAAATTCTGTAATGATGTATTCTTATGTGTTCTTCAATTTCATTATTAATATAGATATGTTAACTGATTATTCTATAATTAGGTACTTACTGATTTCCTGATTCAATTGTTGAACTTTTAGAGGAATGTAGACATTGGCTGGCACAATTTGTACAAAGTTAGACAAGTTATATGTGTTTTTACTTATTTAAGCTGTATATGTATATTTAGTAAGTTAATTGTACAGTACTAAAGATTGAACCCAGGGCTTCATGCATACTACACAGGCATCCTATCAATACCCAACATCTTCAGTCTCCTTAATATGCAGATTTCTGATCAGTGAACTGGATATATATCTGATCCCAGTTCTTCATTTAAAATTGGAAAGTAAGTTTCCAGTCATATTTCTGGCACAAATGATGTAGAGTAGACTCCACCTTTCTCTTCTGGATTACTTCTCTTCCATAAAACTGTCTTTAATAATGTGATTTAAGATTAGTCTCAACCATTTGAAAAAAAAATTTTATGATTTTGACCTTTAAGGTGGGCAGTTTATATAGTTCAATCTAATGGAATATCTTCCTTTTGGGGTGGAGTGCTTTGAGGCTGTATGCACTGAAAATAAAATTTGTTGATGAATTTACTTAGGTTCAGTAAGTGAATAAAGAATTAAGATATAAAAGTTTTAGAGGAAAAGAAGGCTCAGAAAAGGTTGGGGTTGAATAGAATTGGGCATAGTGAGTATGATCATTATGTATATACATACTTGAAAATCACAATGAAACCTAGTATTATATATTTAATACATACTAGTAAAAGTTCAAGATTAGAAAATATCCCTAATTGATCATTTTACTTTAAATAACAGTAAGGTAATGAGTAATTCTTGAAATGACATTAAAATAGAATATCTACACACTTTTTGAAACCTATCATAATTTACTAAATTTAGTTAGATTAAGTAGATTGTTTTAGAAATTAATGGAACTTTTTGATATTAAAAGTTTGAAGCAAGGGGGCTGGAGAGATGGCTTAGGAGTTAAGAACACTGTATGCTCTTCCAGAGGTCCTGCGTTCAATTCCCAGCAACCACATGGTGGCTGACAACCACCTATAATGGAATCTGATGCTCTTTTCTGTCATGTAGGCATACATGTAGATAAAGTGCTCATTTGTATAAATAAATAAATCTTAAAAAAAAAAACAAAGTTTGAAACAAGGTGGTGATGTGTAGATTTTGTTTTTCTCTTATTTGCTGTTGTTGGTGGGAAGACTTTTTGTTGCTCTGTTTTGTTGCTCTGGCATTTACATTTAGAACATGAAGAGCAACCTTCCTTTGTCTGGTAGGTAGATCCCCTGTAGCTGAGAAGCAGTGCGGTAAAGTATGTGGTATTGGTATCTGTATGGACTAAAGAGCTCTTTTGGTGTTTTTTTTTCCCCTGTTTTTTTTTTTTTTTTTTTTTTTACCAAAAATGAATCTATATCCTAATGTAGTTTTATTTTTACTTTCCATTTTAAGAATCCTGGGATAGTAAGTTTTATTGGGAACAAAATTTGGATTGAGTGTTTCCTAATACCAAAACACTTTTTTTTTTTTTTGAGTGGATTTTACCCCCTACTCTCAGAATTGTGAGCTGTTTCAAAGCTGTGATGACTTTTTTGAGCTCTGTGATCACAACCTTCTCTTTGTCATGTGAAGCGTTTTGCTTAGGAGGTAGTCCTAACTGCCATTGTCTCTCTGTCACAAAGTTCAGTCGCTTGCCTGCTTGCTTACACATTGTGTGTGGGACATGTTCTTTAGTCTCAGGGTGTTATTTTTGGTTTTCTGTCTGTACAGCTGATTTTCACACCCGCTACCACTGTGGCTGCTGTACAGTCTGACATTCCTGTTGTCTCGTCGCCATCGTCATCTTCCTGTCAGTCTGCAGCTACTCAGGTGAGACTGTCTAGCTTCACAGTGTGGTCCTGGAGGTCTGGATCTCAGTGTAAAGATGGGCACTGCACTGCATTCGAGTTTCAGCTTGTCTGCTTTGGGGTGCACTGCCATGCCTTTGTGGTGGAGTTCATAAAATATCGAGAACTTCAAGAATGTACTTGTTTTGTGGAAACAATAATATAATTAAGCGTAGATTTAGGTTACTAGGTGATCATCAAGGTTTTGTAATGACATTGTATTTTTAGTTTCATTATATACCAGATTTCTTTTTTTGCATGAATTATATTCTTTTTTTGTAGATTTCCTTTGCAAGGAGTTACATAATAGACAAATCAAAGTGGATGATAGCTTTAAGTTTAAAAAAAGAATTAAATTGGCAAACTTTAAGTTAAAAACTTAAGTAGAGTATTACTTTATTTGATACTATGGAAAAAATGAACTTTACCTTCTCTTTTATTCACAAAAATATGCTAAAAGTAGAATGTAAGCCTAAAGGTTAAAAAAAAAAAATTAACTTTCTAGGATAAACAGGACAGCATCTTTGCAAGTCTGGGGTAGGCAAGGCTTTCTTAGAAACAAAAATAAATTGGACTTTATTAAAACTAAAAATTATTCTTTAAAGAATCATTTCAAAAATGAATACCCAGGTTACAGGCTGAGAAAAACTATTCACAATATGTGTATCTGACCAAAGATTGTACCTAGAATATTTTTTAAAATGCCTATAGTTTAGTAATTGATTATAATTATAAGGTCAGTTTGGACAAAAGATTTGAAGCGATAGTTCACAAAAGAACTATGTAGGTATATGCCTTTAATCCCAGTATGTAGGAAGTAGAGGCAAGTATATCTCTATGAGTTTGAGGCCAACCTGGTCTTATATAGTGAATTTCAGAAGAGCCAGAACTACAGAGTGAGACTCTCTTCAACAACAACAACCTAAACAAAGAAAATATATAAAAGGTGAATGAACACAGGAAAAAAATGTTCAGCATCATACATCATTACAGATGTATAAACCAGGGCCATAATGAACATCATTATACACTCAGCTGGACGGCTGAAATGAAGACTGTGGATACTGCAGTAGTTTATGATAGCTAAGTAGTCTTTAACTGCCAAACGTGTAAACAGATGGTGCTATGTTCACACAGTAGAATAGCGCTCCATGGTGAAAAGAGCAGATCACTGACATGTCTTACAGATATGGCTAGCAAACGAAGCTAGACACAATACATACATCCTCTGTGATTCTGCACTTTTTTTGTTTTTAAGATTTGTTTTTTATACAACATTCTGCCTGTACACCAGATCTTACTATAGATGGTTATGAGCCACCAAGTAATTGCTGGGAATTGAACTCAAGACCTTTGGAAGAACAGCGAGTGTTCTTAACCTCTGAGCCATCTCTCTAGCCCTGATTCTGTACTTTTTTAAGTTCCAGAATAAGGAAAAGTCTTCATAATGATAAAGCTAGACTAATGGTACCTGGGGCAGAGGTGGGAAAAACTGACTAGGAGGGAAGTTTTGTGTATTGTTTGGGATAGTGGTTATATGCTGTATTCCTCCTGTCAAAATTCATGGAACATGCACCTATTATAAGTGATACCTCAGTAAAAACTATTTAGATTCAGTTAGCTTTAAGTTACAAAAATTGAGTAGACTGTTACTTTATGATGCTATTTTAGGACTTCATGGCAGTCATTCATAAATTGGGTCATCTTTGATTTTTTATTTAATTAAATATTTTAAAATATCTTTTGTTTGTTTTGGGGTGTGTTTTCAGTTTTCTTTTTGAGATAGAGTTTTTCTGTGTGGCCTTGGCCTGCCTGGTACTTGATGTATGTACTAGGCCTTGAACTTGAGGCGATGTTCTTGTCTTAGCTAAGTCTGTGCTGGGATTACAGGAGTTAGTCACCATGCCGGGTGCATTTCATTTTTCATTTCATACTTCAGTCTTCTGGTAAAATGTAAGAAATGAGATAGTAATAATATTCTTTGACTTTTTTTATAGACCCTCTTTGTGTGTTAATGTACTTAATAATAAGACTAAGTTTCATATGTGAATAATAATAAGAGTGTGGTCAGGTAAACTCAGGGTTTTCCCAACTGGCTCCCTGGCCCTTTGTGGCCCCTTAGGAGTGGATGTTAGCTAGGCCTCAATAAATGCCAAGCTCCAGTTTCCCGTGTAGCTCAGTTGCTACAAGAGGCAAACGAGGCAGCCAGGAACTGCTTAGCACAGCACCTGCCACAGATCGAGATATCATATCTACTGATTATTGATTTACTTGACATTGTGTAAATCACACATTTGGTTCTTAGCTTTCAAGAAGTTAGAAACAAAGAGAGGAACGTAACCATTTAAATGATTTATAGTTTCCATGCTAAACCAGTAACTTAGGAGACTGGCTCTGCTTAACAAGGTCTGGAACACATTTGCTTATCAGTTTTTCATGGTGAAAACATTCTTACAAGTCTTTAGTTCACCTGGTCTTCTGGTGCAGTTGGATGTGGCCTCTCCGTATGGCTCTGTGGGGGGTTGATTTAGTTAAGGCTTTCAGGGGAACTAGAATAGGGTGATCCTTAGGCGTCTCTCTGCGAATGCTCTGCTAGGCAGTGAGTGAGGCTAGCAGCCGTTGGTAGGTGCTGCGGACCCAGTGAAGATGTAATTTCAGGTTCAGGACTATTGGTTTTGAAATTCAGTATATCAGCTAATTTTTCCTCAGTTAAAAAAATATATGTTTTTTCAGGCACAGTCTCACTCTGAACCTCTAGCTGATCTGGAAGGATGTATAGATCAGGCTGGCCTCAAATTGACAGAGATCCACCTGTGACTCTTCTGGAGTGCTGAGATTAAAGGTGTGTGCCACTATGAATGGCACAAAGAGTATGTTTGTAGAAGAGTAAAAAATCCTACTTATCAACAGGCAGTCTGGGGAATGCTGATTTGAGGAGAAATCAAGTCTTTGGACTGAAAATCTGGGAACTCTACTGTGAACAGCAGGACTTGTGTGCAAACGGAGGCTACTGTTATCATGTATGCAGTTTTTGAGTCAAGTTAAATGACTTGGAGACTATTTTGGCAGTGATATGTTCATTATATATCATAAATTATCAGAGTGAAGTTAGCATATATACCTCATGCACAATGTCAGAAAGTTTTCATAATACCATAGGCTTGGTTCAGGGGAAATGAAAGTTAAAGCCAGGATCTTAGGATGGATTTTCTTTCCTTAAAAGTGATAGTGCCAAGAAGAACTTAATATGTGTCTTTCCAGCAGTAAATAAATATTGTCTTTGGTGCTTTGTTTTTTGTGTGTAATTTATTTACATCAAGTTGATGTTTGAGTGAAAATGAAAGCAGGTTAAAGTCTAAAAGCTCATATTGAACACATCATACTTATCTATGGAGACACATACATTGCCTTCTAGGATTCCAGAAAGCAGCAAAAGCATTATAGAAGTGGATGTGGTACAGAGTTAGGGTTCATTGTGTCAAGTCTTCACTTACTGTTCACATGGTTTTCATTCTGAAGGAGTCACTCAAGTTTTTCAGGGTATTCTTGGTTGTCACTATTATATGGCTTACTGCATGGGCCCTCTGTGGAAAATGTTATGTTCTTTATTGTGTAGCTCTTCCTTGGAGAGTGTGTTTGTTTGTTTGTTTGTTTGTTTATGGAGGCAGGTTCTTGTGTGGCCAATACTGGATTGGAATTAACTATGTATTTTAGACTGGCCTTTGACTTGTTTATGATCCTGCTGCTTCTGCTTCCTTTGTGCTAGGATTATAGGCCTATGCAACTATCCATGATAGAGTTTTTTTGTTTTTTTGTTTGTTTGTTTGTTTTCTCCTGCCATACTGAATATGGAACCCAGGGCCTTTTACATACTAGGTAAATGTTCTCCCACCTAGCTACATCCCTGTCCTTCCTGAGATATTTCAATGTGCCTCCACCAAGATACATGATGAACTTTGTTAGTGTGGATAGATTTTAGTGTTAGCATAAGAGCTCTAAGTGGAGCCAAATAACCTTTCAAATAGATATATGAGATATATTTCAAAATCAGATGTAAGAGACTATCCCAGACTCAGGAAGCTTAGAGTGTTCGTAGTTCTGAACTACTAGGGTGGAAGTGTCAGTGCTGAAGATGAGAGCCTATTAGCCAGAGTCTCATCTCCCCATTTCAGAGATGTGTGTGTTAGTAATACAAAGACAGGATGAACATTATGCTATAGGCCACTTGTATTCTGTGGAAGCATCCTGGAATGGAGGAAGGAAAATTCTCACAAAGGACTTCAGGAAGCTCTTCTGAAAGAGGGAAGGAGGGTTATTGTGCTTGGAATAATGGCTTGAGAAGGAATGTGTTTAGGTGAGAAGAACCAGAACAGAGGCGCCAAATGAAGAAAGTACAGGGTGTACTTATGGAACAGTGAGAGCAGTTTGTCAGGAATATAAGAATTACAATGGAGAAGAGAAAATGGATTCAGTGTGGTTTGGGCCTACATTTTGAGTGGCAACCCAAGGAATACAGTACTTTTTACTTTTTGCATGAAACTTTGATACTAATGGTTATTAATATGTGTTGTTGTACAATAGGAAATATGTGAGGAAAATCTGAGAAGATGCTCAATATGATCTCACTTAGAAATTTTGTCCCGTTGTTGTATTAATCAGTTTTTGTCTCTATGACAAATGACCTAGGAGAAACAGTTTAAAAAGGAGGAAAGTTTATTTTTGGCCCATGATTTCAGTTCACAGTTCCTTGCTGTTTTTTCTGGGCCATAGAAGCAGAGCATCTTGGCAGGAATGTGTGGGCCATAGAGGCAGAGCACATGGCAGGAAGTGTGTGGTAGAGCCAACTTGCTTACTTCTTGGCAGACAGGCAGAGAAGGGAGCAAGAAGGGACCAGGGTCCCAAATCTCCTTCAAAGATAGCCCATAGTGACCACCTTCCTCCAGCTACTTCCCTCTTCTATAGATCTACCACCTTCTAATAGTCTATTTAGATTATAAGTTAATTTGCTAATTAAACCATTCATGGAGGCAGAGTACTCATCTGCCAGTTCTCAAAGGGGCTACTTCTGAGCACTACTTGTGTATGGAACCAAACCTTCAATATATGTATCTTTGGGGGGGCAGTATGGGGAGGTACTTCATTTTCATTTTTTTTGTTGTTGTTTTGTTTTCTAGACAGGGTTGAACTATGTAGCCTTGGCTGTCCAGGACTCACTTTGTAGACCAGGCTGCTCTCAAACTCACAGTGATTTGCCTGCCTCTGCCTCGCCAAGTGCTGGGATTACAGGCATGTGCCTGGTGATTTTCACAAACTAACAGTAGCTAAAGAATTGATTGAAACTTGTCTGGCATGAACATTTCTCTGCCTTATGTTGACACTGTTTTGGCATTTGGTCAGGGAGTATAGTCTTGAGTACCAGCTAAGGTATGTTGTAGAGTCAGCACACTGAGACTGAAGAAGTTAGAACTCAGCAGCATGTCATTCGCTTCATAGCATTGGAGCCTCCTTTGATCCTGTTAAGGTCATTCCTAGCACCAACTGTATTTGGTTCACATTCCAGATAAGAAGCTATGCAGCTTTTGGGGAGGCATATTCTGCTTTGCTGTTTGGAAAGGTATTCGTTCAAGTGAAATGAAGTAGGATAATCCTGTCATTTATAGGGTTTAGAATGGCCCCAGTTTATGAAGGACACCACCAGACCCATTTCAGAGCTATGTATAATGTCAGCTCAAAAACCCAGTTCTCAAAGGCAATGAGTGGTCAGTAGCACAATTTAAATTTTAAGTTTTCTTAAAAGTACTTCTCCTGAGTATCGCAGTGGAGTAAATGGTTAGATGACTCAGTTGTCTGGCAGCTCTACTCCCCTACGCGTTTAGAGTCAGTCACTTTCAACGCAGTGTGTTCCAGAGCCACTTCCTTATATTTATAGTTTATTTGCCACCAACCTTCCCCTCTCAGTGCTTGTCTGTTTTCATTTAGTTCCTCATGTTTCTCCCGTCCTCCCTCTTCTTCACTCACAGGTACCCCATACCTGTCCAGTATAGCCTGTAACCCTGAGCATAACATCTAAGATGTGCTCGCGTAGACTGCGGTTCTCCTTTCCTGAAGGAGTAGTTGGCTGTCTCAGGAGCTTGAACCTCTTTGTGTAGGAGGCACAGTATCAGTTGCTGTTATTGTAATGATTGCTGTATCAGCTAAGGCCAGCTGTTTTCATCTTTACTTTCTGTTATGTGGTTCTTAGGTTCAGAACTTAACATTACGCAGCCAGAAGCTGGGTGTCTTATCTAGCTCACAGAATGGCCCACCAAAAAGCACTGGTCAAACTCAGTCGCTGACAATTTGCCATAATAAGACAACAGTGACCAGCTCTAAAGTCAGCCAACGAGACCCTTCTCCAGAGAGCAAGAAGGGAGGAAGCCCAAGTCTGGAATCTCGAAGCACAGCTGTCACTCGAACATCAAGCATTCACCAATTAATAGCACCAGGTGGGATATGTCTCAATGTTTTCTTAGCAGACCACAAAACAGAGGGTGTCCACTACTTGAATAAGAGTGACAATATGAAGACTTTTAAAATGAGAACTTTTGTAAGCTAAAGAAGACCTCACTAATTAGCTTGAAAAGAAATTCAAAAAGCCTAATAGCTGGAAGAAATAACAGTAGAAAGATGGTCTTTCATTGTTGCTCCTTGGCATTTGATTAACATCTTTATGATGTGCCGCTCTCTTTATATTAATAAAACCTTTTAGCTTTTAAAACAAATATCTTAGCTTTAGTGGAATGTATTTTTAAGCTTGTAGTAAAAAAGTAAGTGTATTTTGTTAAAGTCATTCGTAGAAAGAATTTGTTTACTTTTTCAAAACAAAAGATTGTGCACATAAGGAAATTACTTTCCCAACCCCTCGTCCACCACTACCTGTGTGGGATTTCATCTGGGAGAAAGTTGTCAAGGAATCGCTTCTTTCCATTCTTTCAAGCTGTCAGGGTCTCCTGCTGGTAAGAGACAAGTCTTTCTCTGTGTAGCCTTGGCTGTCCTGGACTTGCTTTGTAGTGGCTTCAAACTCACAGAGATCTGCCTGTCTCTGCCTCCCCTAATGCTGAGATTATAGGGGTGTGCCACCACCCCTGGATGCTTTATGGTTCTTAAACTGAACATTTTGGGGCCTTCCAGAGTGAGTTGCCTATCTCTTGTTCTAAACTATTGAAATCTACTTCTTTCCCCACCTAGACTGACTTCTCTGTGTTTGGTTTTAGTGATTGAATCTAGAAGCTCACACATGTGTGCACAAGCATTCTAATGTGGAGTTACAGCTCTTTAACTTCTTTTTATATTTCTTCTGAGTTAGTATTGTCACTATTCCTTGGTTTACCAAATCTCGAAATCTTGGTGTTGAAATGTCTCCTTACTCTGAACTTTTGTAACAGTCCTCATTATAAAAGGACTTCTTTTTTGTCATAAAAGATTTCTGAATCTTCTTTCATATTCACCTTTTCATCTTAATAGCACTAAGTTGTGCCTTATATTCAATTGCCTGTAAAAGGTAAGCAGGTATATATTTGATGGATGAATCACTCAATTTTCCACACTTAGTCTTTAGCATTATTCAGCTATCACCGTGCTTTGGAATTGTTATGAATGAATTGTAGACAAGTACCGTAAACTTTGCTAACAAACACTTTCATGCTGTAGTTAGATACGATTTCTTTTTATAAATATCTATGTCCTGGTCTGTGTTGTCTCTAGAGCCAGATAACTAGGTTTTTTCACAGCATTGTCCAGAGTATTCTCAGCTTCCAAGTAGCATCCTATTTGTTAGTCAGTGTGGAGCAGCATTGTCCTCCTAAGCCTGAAGTGACTGGTCAGGGCATAGTGTCTAGTGAAACGTGTCATCTTACTCTTTTCCTTAGTTAGAAGTATGCCAACAGTCATTTTAAATAGTGAAAAAGACCAATCCCTCTTATTTGTAGTTGCCTAATAGTTACTATAGTGGACGTGGTTACTGTTTTCTTGTATTTTTAGGGTGTAAATTGATTTTCTTTTCCATTTCTCCTTGAGGGTGAGGGCTTTCACTTGTTAGTAATTCTATTTATTTATTTAGAAGACAATAGCCGAGGCTGGCCTTGAACTTATGACAACTCTCTTGACTCAGTCTCCTATTATGCCCAATTGATAATTCTGATACTTCTGTTTTTAATATATAAAGGTAAAAGTTCACCTGTAATCACATATCTAGAAATCATGAGATGTTAATGTGTTACAGCTGAAAAAATTTAAGTAGGTTTTGGAGGACTTTTGTTTTCTTTTTTCTTTAGACATTAATTCAACACGTAGTGAAAAAGTCCTTTACTGGTTTGGTCTAGCAGCCACCATGGAATGTTAGAGACTAGGTACCTTGGAAGCCCCAGGTCAAAGTCTTGCAATGCCAAGTGTCTGATGAGGAATGCCTTTCACTTGTCACTTGTCACTTCTCTCTTTACTCTCACACGTACGTTCCTCTGAGTGCACAGAGGTGAGGGGAACTCTCTGATACTTCTTTAAAAACATTGTTGGGGTAGTTTCTTATTTTGTGTGTAAGAGGTAGTAAAGGGGGTATGAGCATTTCACAGAGTGTGTCGAGGTCATAGGACAACTTAGAGTTGACTCTTTCTACCATGTATGTCAGTTCTGGGGATTGAACTCAGTTCATGAGGCTTGGTCTTTATCTAGTGAGCCATATTATCAGCCCTGGATGTTTTTATTGGAATACAACTCTCTGTCGTGTCAGGGCCTCACTTCCAGGATCCCATGTGACCTTAATTTCTTAGCCCCTCCATCTCTATGGTTTCATCATGTGAACTTGGAGAAAGGGAAACAAATAGTTTCTAATACAGTCCTTGACTCAGGCATTTGGGGCTTTTAGACTCAGTGCTGCTCTTTGAGAGGTGATTTTAGTTAACTTGTCCTATATTGTATTTGTTTAGTACCATATCTACTTCGTGGGGTTGTAGGAATGATTAAATGAAATTATATGTTATTGTAAATAATGATAGATGTCAATCATTAATTTTTCAAATATTAGGCTACTTTGACAATCATTAAGTGCTCATTAAAGTCAGAGAAATTAACCAATAGGGCACAATTTTCTAGACATCGTCAGGTTTTTTTGCTCATAGTTCTCATCCTGCATTCTAAGACTTATTTTTATACCCTGACTTCTGATCTAAGAAAAAATTAATGTAAGTGAAGAATACTATTACTCTACTAAAATATGAGATTCCTTACCTATTCTAGTGGAAGCACCAACTGTGCTTGGGAATGGTGCATGTGGGGCTGGAGGGAAGACTCTGCTGTTAAGAGTGATTGTTGTTGTTGCAAGGACTGGAGATTTGTTCCCAGGATCTGTGTTGGATGGTTGACAACTGCCTGTGACTCCAGCTTGAGGGAATCTTGATACCCTCCTCATGCCTCCCAGGGACTCACACTCGTGTGCACACACCATGCGTAGACACATAATTAAAATTAAAAAGTATTTGAAAAAGTTGATAAAATTCAGTTATAACTTTTTTTTTTTTTTTAGCGGATCTCTTTCCGTATCTGAAGGAAGGGATAAGAGCCACTTACTCCACAGCTGCTGTGCAAGTATTGGTGGCAGACCTGAAAGCGCTTAGAGAACTGCAGGATTTTACTCCCTGTTCTCTCTTGAGTACAGTATAACATAGCTATCCAACATTTGTAGAGGGCCGACAGTCTTAATTGGAATTACTGGCTTATGTGAAAATTATTTTTAGATTAAATTTTAGACTTAATTTTTTTTCAGTGCTTGGTTTGAACCCATGCCATATGCGTGCTAAGCATGTGTTCTAACACTGAGATGTAACCCCAGCCCTCCACTTAAAAATAATTAGTCAATATCTATTGAAATTTCTAAATACTCTTTGAGATATTAGCTAGATGTTAATTTCTTTAAAGGAGCACTATAATTTTTAAACAAATCACTTTATGTGTATGACTTTTGTATGCACCACATGTGTGCCCTGATGCCTGATAAAGGCCAAGGAGGGCATCAGATCCTGGGACTGGAGTTACAGATAGTTATGAGCAGTCATGTGGAGGTTGGGAATGAAATTTAGGTCGTCTGGAAGAGCAACCAGTGCTCTTAACTGCTGAACAGTCTCTTCAGCCTGGTCTCTGAATTTAAATTTTTAATCAAATACAAAAATGTTTAAGAAAAAGGTTATTAGAAGTTTGTATAAGGCTGTTACCATTAATGTGGTTGAATATCAAAGGCTATAAGGTGTTATGTAACTTTTATATTTACATTGCAAGACTAAAAAAATTCTGTGTTTAATTTAGATTTGATTTAACTATTTGGTGTATGGTGGGAGTAGAGACTGTGAGACAGGGTCTCCTTATAGCCCTGGCTGGCCTGGAACTTGCTATGTAGATCAGGCTGGCCTGGGACTCAGAGATCTGCATGCCTTTGCCTTCTGAGTGCACCCGCCAGATCCAGCTTATATGTACAATGTTTATGTGGTATTAAGCAGTCATTTCAGTTTATCTTCCATTGCTCTCAGTTTTCAGTTGTAGGTAGGAAGGATTTCATCAGCTTCTGGCCTGTAAAGAGGCATCAGAGTGGGATCCATTCACAACATAGCATGATCTCCGTGTATGTGTATCCCTGTTGTGAGCGCCTCTGTGGAGGAGTCTGATACCAACCACTGCCACATATTATACCATAGAAGTCACTCCGTGGGTTTCCATCGTGTGGGAAGGGATAAACAGCATCCCTTCCTTAGGTCTCGTGATCTCATTTCTTCATTCTCAGCAAGAAAGTGGTTGCTCATTAGATTTGAAATGGCCTGCACACTACAGTTTAGCCATGTACTTTGCTGACTTGGAATTTTATGTGAAATGGTCTTCTTTCTGATGAAATAATAAGGATTCCAGTGGAACTGAAATACTTACTTGGGAAACTTTCCAGCTAACTGATTTTTCCATTAGTTTGAGACATGTTTTGTTATAGGTAGGATGAGATCTATGAAGTCACCCTTGTGTGTACTGTACTTGTTGATTGAGAGGAGACAGACGAGTGTGCATGTACCTAAGTGCCAACAGCTAATGGAGCTGCTCTGGCGACTGAAGAACACGAGAAGCGGAACGTGTGTGACTGGAGTGCTTTTCCTTCAGGGTTTCACAGTATAGCTTATTTTATCTAGTGTTTTTAGCCTTGTAAGGAAAATATTTCAAATTAGTCATCCCTAAAAGACTTTTAATAGACGGCTAGTGACTATGACTGATGTGAAAACTCTCCTTTAGGTTTATGTAAAACTGTCTTGATTTGAAGTCAGTACTAATTGTCATTTTTTTCTCTCACAGCTTCATATTCTCCAATTCAGCCTCATTCTCTAATCAAACATCAACAGATTCCTCTTCATTCACCACCTTCTAAGGTTTCCCATCATCAGCTGATATTACAACAGCAACAACAGCAAATTCAGCCAATCACCCTTCAGAGTCCAACTCGAGATCCACCCCCATCCCAGCACTGTATCCCACTCCCAAACCATGGCCTTTCTCCAGCTCCCAGTAGTGCTCAGTCACAGCACTGCTCCCCAATTCAGAGCCATCCCCCTCCTTTAACTGTGTCTCCTAATCAGGCACAGTCCGCACAGCAGTCTGTAGTAGTGTCTCCTCCTCCACCTCATTCCCCAAGTCAGTCTCCTACTATAATTATCCATCCACAAGCACTTATCCAGCCACACCCTCTTGTGTCTTCAGCTCTTCAGACAGGGCCAAATTTGCAGCAGGCTACTGCTGATCAGGTACAGCCCACAGCACAGCTCAATCTTCCATCCCATCTTCCACTTCCAGCATCCCCTGTGGTACACATTGGCCCTGTTCAGCAGTCTGCTTTGGTGTCCCCTGGTCAGCAGATTGTGTCCCCAACATCACATCAGCAATATTCAGCCCTACAGTCATCTCCAATTCCAATGGCAACCCCTCCACAGATGTCGACATCTCCTCCAGCTCAGATCCCACCACTGCCTTTGCAGTCTATGCAGTCTTTACAAGTGCAGCCTGAAATTCTATCCCAGGGCCAGGTTTTGGTGCAGAATGCTTTGGTGTCAGAAGAGGAGCTACCTGCTGCAGAAGCTTTGGTCCAGTTGCCATTTCAGACTCTTCCTCCTCCACAGACTGTTGCGGTAAATCTCCAAGTGCAGCCACCAGCACCTGTTGATCCACCAGTGGTAAGCCCTCGGCAGCTCTTTGACTTTCTTGCTGAACTGAACGTAAAGCTGTTTCTCCCACACTGTGCTGTACTGCCAAGTCTAAATGCCTATGATTTTTTAAGCTTGCATTTTTCCTGTGTCAGTATTCTGACAATGTATCGTATGGGCAAAGGAAGAAATGTCGTTTGTTGTAATATGGTTGCATGCTTTAAATTTGTGATGGTTATTAAAGTCCCTCGTTAATTTTATTACTATTTAAACAAATCCATCTGCTATCTTTACAGAGTTGATTTTTTTTCCCCAAGGGAATGCATTTGAACCAGTGTCATCTGCACAAAGTTTTTTCTCTTAAGGTGATTATCCTTCATAGATCCCTTCTGTTGGCTTGTATGTTCTTAAACGCATGGTTTATCTAGCTAACCTTTTAGTTGTATGCATTTGGAAGTCCTGGGCCTTGAGCAGCTTTTCTTTCATGGAAGAGGTATGATTGTATGATGTAACTTTTTTGATGAAATTATGTTTTGTAATTAAAATTGTAAAAAACTTATTCTAGGGTAGAATTCAACTTTGCAAAAAACAACTGACTTTTAAATTTTCTATCTACTAAGAGAAAATACATACTTAAATTATTTCTCAGTTAAAAGGTCGAAACTCTTGAGTCTCTGACTTTGATACTGAGAATGAAAGAATGTAATACGTGGAGTAAAAGTTTTGAGTAATTGGGATTTCAGTGAAGTGTATGAGAATGAACCTCTAGAAAGGGTCACATGATGCCTAAAAATTATCTTTTTCAAAATTCTCTCTGAAGGACTTATTAAAATTTATAAAGTGGTTTATGCAAAAATTGAAATAAGATCTTTATGAGTTTAATCAGAATGACCAAATACAGTTTCTTACTGAGAAAAAAGAATTTTTCTAAAAGGAAGTTTTATGTCATACTTTGAAAATCCCTGTAAGTCAGACGTGGTTTCATACACTTGCAATCCCAGTTCTTGGGAAGCTGGAGCAGAGAAGCATGAGTTTGGGCCATCCTAACTGGCAGGTGAGTTCAAAAGAGCCTTGGCTACAGAGTTGCCAGAGTAGATGCAAATCACACTGATCTCAGGAAGGAAGAGTTTTGCTCTTCATTGGAAGAGACATTTGGCTCTTAGGCCTCTAGTTCATGGTCTGTTATTCTTGTCCTTCTAAGTAATCTTAGTAGGCTCGAGCTGCGCCGTCCTTCCTGTTCTTAGCCGGGAAGGCCAGAGCCCAGGAAAAACAGCCATGTTAGTCAAGCTTGCCAGTTCATCAGCCTCTGTATTTTCTTTTAATGGGTTTTTAGAGCACTTACAGGAGGTTTTGCATTGACGATGTAGCTCAGTGGAAGAGTGTGTGTTTAGTGTGGGCCAGGCCCTGGTTCAATCCCTACTACTGCCAAAACAAAAACATAAAAAACAAAGGTTTAGGAAAAATACAGTACCTTCAAAGGAATCAAATTTAATTATTTAATTTTCTGAACATTTATTTCAGTGGTTGGTTTTCAATAAATAAACAATAAAATTTCTATATTCTATATATTTTTAAAATGTATTTTTTTAAGAGGACTTTGGGCCAATACATTTTGGGTAGAAATGCCAAAATTTTCACAAAACAAACAAAACTCAAAACAATAAAAAAACAGTTTATATGTTATGTCAGAAGTATTATGTTTATTTTGATGATTTGCTCTCTGCTTTAAAACACAAGGCCACTGTTATTCCTGGAAAGTTTCTCTTACTGTGTGATCAAGGGCCTCTGTCTGTGTACCCATTTCCTTGATTCTTTTCACAGCAGCTGTTGAGTAAGCTGCTTTTTTGTTGTTGTGATTACAATGTTTTTTTCCCATCAAATTACCCTTTCCACCCTTGATTATTTCAAGTACTTAAGTACAGATGTTTCTTTCCAATAAGATATAAAAATTTTGAAAGAAAAAGGTGAATTATTAAACTAAATCAGTATGCTTTCAAAAAGATATTTCTATAAAAAAGTTTTTTTTTTTTTTTAAGTTGAGCTTTAAGTATAAATAAGATCTGTTGAGGGTAGATGATTTAGAACTAATAAACAAATGTTCCTCAGTTTATTTAGGAAAGGGAGACATGGGAATATGGACTGTACTGAGGTAAGTTTGGCAGTCTTCGTTATGTTTAGAATAGTTATAGTTATGAGCTAAATAGAACTTGTGCAAGTATTGAAATGCTCTTCTGAGCAGAACCTCCAATTTCTGTGTCTCAGTATTTTAGTTGTTGCATTTAGAAGTTTTTTTTTTTTTTGTGCTGATTGTGCCAGATATGTGTGACAAATTTCTTTTGCCTACTTTATTTACCTGTTAACTTGTTTTCCTCTTTGTGGGAGATTATGAAGAGCTCCCTCCCTCCCTCCCTCCCTCCCTCCCTCCCTTCCTTCCTTCCTTCCTTCCTTCCTTTCTTTTTTTTGGGAGGGGTTAAGGTTCAAGACAAGGTTTTTCTGTGTAACAAGTCCTGGCTGTCCTGGACGCGCTTTGTAGACCAGGCTGGCTAGAATTTACAGAGATCTGCCTGCCTCTGCCTCCCAAGTGCTGGGATTACAGGCATGCACCCTCCCACCCCCACTGATATATCTATATTTAACCTCACCTTAAAAATGAAAAGTATTAGGGTCTGGAGAGCTGGCTCAGAGGTGAAGAGCACTGCCTGCTCTTCCAGAGAATGAAAAGTATTTTGTAGTATTTCTTGATGGATAAATTTGAAAAACAAACAAACAAACAAACAAACAAACAAAACAATGCTATTCACATTATGGCTTTTCCTTTAAAAAAATACTTTTCAAAAAGCAGAATTCTGTTCATGGTCAAGCCTTGATTCCTTAAAAGATACTGTAAGCAGCTATTTAGCAGCATATGGCAGTGCCAAGCATGACGAGAGAGCTTTATAGCGTAGTAGGTGGTGTTCTTTGTAGGGAGATTGTTGTCTGTTAAGGGAACATAATGGGTGAAATTGAACTGGTTCATAAAGCCAGTTGTCTAGTTGTCCGTGGTCAGCTCTCCTAGCACTCTCACGAATGAACACTGTAACATCGAGGGACCAGAAAGGCTATTTCAGTTTATTTCTGGTTGTTGTTGTCTTTTGTTGACCACTAGGTATTTTGGGCAAGTGATTTCATTCTATGCTGAGTACTACCCTCATATTAAATATTGCTGTTACCATGAACAGATACTAGTGACTATCAACTGAGCAGTATACAGTTACCAGTGGCTGCTTCTACTTGTGATATGAGGCTTTTGGTGAAACAGTTTTCCAGTATCTAGATTGTGAAAAAAATGTCTTACAAAAAAACAGTTGCCTACTTAGTACCTGATTTAGATGTCATACTTAAGATACTATGTTACATATAAAATGACTCTTGTGAGATTTTAGAAAGTTTTTTTGTTTACATGCACACAGGCTGACCTTGAACTCAGCCTTCTGAGTGCTCGGGTTACAAGTAGTGCCACCATTCCTGAGAAGATGTTTTACTTTATTCTAAGTAGACTCTTAGAGTTCATTGTTTTTGTTGTTTTTTTTTTTTTTTGAACTTGTATTACTTATTGTTATGTATATCTTCATAAATGAAACTTTATACAACTTTGCATGGTTTATTCCTGATTCAGAAATCTTGACTATTTTCATATTAAATTCTAATCACCTAAAATTATCAAACTTTTTTCAGCAATTTAACTGAAAATGTAATATTGGATTTCATTTAAAGTTACTTTGTGAATGTTCTTTTTTTATATTTCATTAAGACTTACTACCATTTTAATTAGTTAAGAAATCTTAAAAAACCTTCAATCTTTGTAAATGTAAGTGAAACCTTTGGCACATGGAAGGAAATGAACTGTTCTACAGCTTTGTTTTAGTAGAGGGTTATCTTTCATAAATAGCAACCAGTCAAAGCACATCTATTAATTTCTAGAGATATTTTGAAATCAATCCTTAAGTTTAATAAAACATTAGTTGAATGATTTTTGTTAATTACACGGCTCCTCCTCTGTGAGTTTGATGTCACAGTCCTTCAGTAAAACCTTCACAGTTGGATAAAAGGGACAAAACCTTCCCCATGGGAACCAAAAATAGATCTATCTAGCTGAGGGTGTATACACTCTATTAAAGAAAGATGTTTTCTACATATGTTCTACTAGCTTGTAAGAACTCACTTCATTCTTGAGTAGAACAGAAAGGGAATGAAAATATTATCGCTGAGTTTTCTGTAGTTTCATTTACAATAATTTCCATAATTTAGTCTTTAATAACAAGAGTAATCTTGTGTATAATTTTTCTTGTCAACATATTGGCCAGATGTATACTATTTTGGTAATGTATTTAGAGTGTCTGTAAAAAGTACAAGCACCTATTTTGATTCCTTACAGGTAGAAATGAACAGAAGCAATTGGTGTTTAAAAATAGTTATTTAATTATGTAAAGCAAATCCCCCTTTTTTTTAATTCTTAAAACTATGTTCAGGCCGGTGTGGTGGTGCACACCTGTAATACCAGCACTCAGTGAGGCAGAGATAGGCAGATCTCTGTGAGTTTGAGGCCAGCCTGGTCTACAAAAGCTAGTCTAAGACAGCCAAGGCTACACAGAGAAACCCTGTTTCAAACAAACAAACAAACAAACAAACAAACAAACAAACAAATGATTCAGATGTGGCCATTATTTTAGAAAGCCCAGTGATTTCCTGGCTTACATAACTTGCCCACAATGTGCTTTCAAACACACTACTATTATAAAACATTTTTATGAATGGTTTCAAAGCTTTCCTTTCAGCTTATCAGTATAGTCATTTGCTTTGCTTTTTACATTTAATACATCTAGAACTACATTTTTTAAAATTCAGAATACCTTATTAAATGTATTTTTGGAATTATGTCAAGGCAGTATGGCTTGTCATTGCAGGTTTATCAAGTAGAAGATGTGTGTGAGGAAGAAATGCCAGAGGAGTCAGATGAATGTGCGAGGATGGATAGAACACCACCACCACCTACTTTGTCTCCAGCAGCTATAACTGTGGGGAGAGGAGAGGATTTGACATCTGAGCATCCTTTGTTAGGTGAGGAAATACAGAATATGGGAGAAGATTCTGTTTGATAGATGCAGGATTTTTTTTTCATTAGAGATGGCATTAAACTAACTTATTACTGTTGTTAACTATAGCAAAAAAATAGATTATAGTAAAAAGTTTAAATATATGAAGAGTATTATCTTATTAAATAATAAATTAAAATTGTTTCTTTTCTTGGAAAGTTCTTTAATAGCAGAAAGCCTTTTTTTTTTTTAATATAAAAGTTTTAGCACCATCCAACAAAAACACGATTTCTCAAGCATTATAATTATTAGGTGGTTTATACAACTAATGTTTATATGTTTTATGTTTATATGTTTTCTGTGTGTATTCATATTCCTGTGTTAGGTATTTGTAGCTTAAAAATTACAATAGGGGATTTGGTAAATGGCTTGGTGTGAAAAGCACTTGCTGCTCAAGTATGAGGACCTGAGTTCAAACCCTAGAGTCCACATAAAGCCAGACACAGTAGTATGTCTGCAGTCCCAGTGTGACAGTTAGATGAGAGCAGAGACAAACTTGTGGGCTAGCTATCCTGGTGTATGTATCAGCAAACCCCAAAAAAACACCCTGTCTAAAGATAAGTAGAAGACAGAGATCAACATCTAGGGTTGTCCTCTGACCTTCACATATGCTTTCATGAAAGTGCTTGCATGCATGCACACGCGCGCGCACACACACACACACACACACACAATTAGTATAAATCAAGTCATCAGGCGATTACATTAGGGGCTGGGTATGTAACTCAATTGATAGAGCGCTTGCCTAGCAAGTACAAAGCTCTGGGTTCAGTCCCAAGGACCATATGAAAAAACTGTAGGCATGGTGGCAGGTGCCTGTAATCTCGGCATTTTGGAGTTGAAGGAAAGAGGATCAACTTGGCTACACTTGAGGCCATCCTATGCTACATGAAATCTTGCGTCACCACCCCTTGCTTTTGCCAAGGATCTGAGTGTGGTTCTCAGATGTGCAGCTTGGAACTGCTCGCTTGTAACTCCAGTTTCAGGGGATCTGATGCCTTCTTCTGGCCTCCACAGGCAGGGGAAATAGTTGGTATACACTCACATCTAGATAAATAAAAATAAAAAAAAGATTTGTTTCCATCCATGATTCAGCTTTTGTAAATCTGTAAAAATCTTTAAAAGTTCCCATGTAAAAAAGGTAGGACAAATCTACACAGCCCAGTGTGAATCTGTAAGCAGATTCGTAACCTATTCCAAAGTGTAGAGCTGCCCAGAGGGACTGTGCAGTAGTGTTTCTGTTTTGTTGTAAAATGCCAGTGTTGTTTCTGCTTTTGCTTTTAATAGCTTCTTATAAATTGTAAAATAAGAGATATTAGGTTCTTAAAAAATCAGTGACTAACAGATCTATTTTTAACACACACTGAGGACTTTACTATACACATGATGTATAGATTAATTCAGATAAACACTGGGCAGTATTTTCTGGAAAAATACACAATGCAATGTTTTAGTCCATTTTGTGGCCTTGGGCTGGTCATGGTGGGGTATGCCTGGAGCACCAGCGCTCAGGATGCTGAGGAAGTTCACCTAAAAGCTTGAAACCAGCCTAGGCTATTGAACAAGCATCATCTTTGCATGAACAGATCGTAGACTCGGGGATTTATACTGAAGAGAAATATTTTGCTTGCGTTTCTGGAATGTGTAAATTGTAAGATGAAGGTGTTGCATCTGGCAAGAGCCTTCCCTCTGATCTATAACAAGGCAGAAGCATCACACTGATGGAGGTGTGAATATCCTACAGTTCCTCCATGATGGAAATGTGTCCTAGTCACTGTCCATAAAGCTCTACTTCTCAACATTTGCATTGAGTGCTCAGTTTCCAGCACAGGAATTTTAAACTATAGCATATAGTTTTGTATTTATTGAGCAAGAAAGTGTCTTTAAATCTATAAGGGTTATTTAGAATTTTAGTTTAGTTTATCATAGATTTTTTCTATAGAAAAATGACTTTTAGGTGAGATGGCTCAGTGGCTGCTCTTCTAGAAGTCCTGAGTTCAATTCACAGCAACCACGTGGTAGTTTATGACCATCTCTCTATAAAGGGGCCTGAAGTGCTCTTCTAGCATATAGTTGTACATGTAGACAGAGCATTCCTACATTAAAAAGAAAAAAGATTTAACCATACCTCATAGGTTTTTGTTGTTTGTTTTTTTGGTCTTTTGTCCCATAGAAGTGTAAGTGACGATTTGACATATGGGCAGGAGTATTGTAGTGTTCCCTGCTTGGTAATACATATGGACATTTGTGCATACACTCACAGACATCAGCAAGTTACAATTCTATGAGTGTGTTTCTTTTCTTGCCCCTCTTCCTGGTCTCTACCTCTCCCCCTCCTTTCTTAGTTTAATAAGAGTCTGTGGCTTTGGATTTACTTTGTGCATAGGAAATTTGTTTGTTTTTAAGATACAGTCTCAGTCTATAGCCAATATCTTGTTTTTGTGAAGATAGATTACTTTATTGTGGCTATAATAGTGTTGGTGAAAGATACAGAACATTGATTTCATTGGTCTAAGAGAGAGCTTTTTGTTTTAATTTCTTTATTGTGAATTTGAATATTTTGTGGTACAGGGAATTGATCCTTGCGCTTGCTACTCATACATTTTCCATGTACCAGCCCCTGCTACACTGCTTTCTCGGTTGTTTTCTGTTCTTTAGGGAGCCTATGCTTTCTTCTCTTTCACATAAGTGGGTTATATTTTTAGCATCCTTAACTGGTGCTGTCAATCTTTTTTGTTTGCTTGAGAGATGGGGTTTCTTTGTGTAGCCCTGGCTGTCCTGGAACTTGCTCTGTAGACCAGTCTGGCCTTGAACTTACAGAGATCTGCCTGCCTCTACCTCTGACTGCTGGGATTAAAAGATGTGCACCACCACCGCCCAGCTGGTGTCAGTCCTTTTTAGACTATTAGTGGAGAAGAGTTAATATGTGCTCTTGCATCATACTGTCTGGGCGGTGCCCCAGTTTCATTGCCCATTTGTTGTGTGCCATTAAGGCAAGTAAGTTAATTTGCCTGTGTCTTTGTTTCCTTATTCATATGATGGAGATGAGAACATTCACCTCCCATAGGCTACATATGGATTAAATGAGGTACACCATGAAAGCACTGGACATGACACCAGACAACTGAGTGCTCACTGAGTGTCTTTGCACACATGCATTCTGTTTTCTTTAGAAATCTGTTCTCACTGATATGCCTAGATATTAGCTGTATTACCTCTGTACATTTGCACTGACAGTCAAGGGCTGGTGTTACTATGGGTAGGAACTTTGAGCCATCAGACATTGTCGGCTGAACCTTACTGTGCGCTGCATACTGAGTGCTGCAGCATTTCCCCAGCCAGCATACAGCAGCACAGAAGTTGAAAGAAAGCAAAGTGCTCTGGAAGAGAATTCAGAAGATCTTTCTGCTTTGAAGTTACAGCCTATGATCTATCCCTATCACTGAGAATCCTACTTATTCTGTTGGTTTCTTGGTCTTTTTGGAATTTTTTAAGCGACTCCATGTCCATCTGTATCATGTGGACTAGAAAGACGGGAATGTAAAGTATTTATTATCATTACAGCTTAAAGGCAGGCAGAAAATCAACTGACCTTTTCTGTAACTACTTTTGGATGATATTTAGGGCATTTTCATGTTTTGTGAGGACAATAAACAGTTTAGATGATAATTTTGCTCATGTTAGTGAATGTTTATGGAATGGGGATATTGTATAGACTAACTGAGAGCATAAACATGATGTCCTTGGAAAACAGGAGATATGAAACTCTCTTGTGCCCACTCCTGCGTGCCTGTTCATCTCTGCAGGTAGTCGGCTAAAGATGAAATAAATCCCTTCTCTTACAGAGCAAGTGGAGTTGCCTGCTGTGGCTTCAGTCAGTGCTTCAGTGATCAAGTCTCCATCAGACCCCGCCCATGGCTCTGTTCCTCCACCACCACTCTTAATTCCTGCTGCCTCCACAAGGAGCAATAGCACATCCATGGCCAGCAGCACTGCCACCCTAGAAAACAAGCCTCCACAGGCCATTGTGAAACCACAGATCTTAACCCACGTTATAGAAGGTTTTGTGATTCAGGAGGGATTGGAGCCATTTCCTGTAAGTAGGAAGGTTGTTTCTGTCTTTAACATTATTTTTAGCTACATAACACTATCTTTTAAAAAAATTGTCTACTATTGTTCTCTAAGAAAATACTCATAATCTTATTTTTTAAAGGTTGCTTTTCTATGTAGAATTTTAACTGTCTAATATTTTATGTATTTCCTTATATAGGTTCTGAGACTTTTTGTTTTTCTTTTGTTTTTCAAGACAGGGTTTCTCTGTGTAGTCCTGGCTCTCCTGGAACTTATTTTGTAGACCAGGGTAGACTAGAGATGCACTTGCCTCTAACTTCTGAGTGCTAAAATTAAAGACATGCACCCCCCAATGGCCTGGCCTGAGACATTTTGTACTAGCCATTTCTGATCTTAATTTTGCTTATCTGCATGATAGAGATGCTTTTTTGGTGTGTGAGGATTAAATACACTAGCATTATTCTTTGCTGTGGCCACTCCCACAATGTCTTCATTGGTATTTAGTAGTCATAGCTATTACTGATTTTCACCACTGTAGTGACAATAACAACTTTACTTTTCTGTTTGTTTATTTTTCTCTTATATATTACATCCTGACCACAGTTTCCCCTCCCTTCTCTCTTCTCAGCCCCCTCCCTCAGGATTCCCATCTGCTCACTCCTCCTTCATTTCCCTTCAGAAAAGGGTAGGCCTCCCAGGGATATCAAACAAACATGGCATATCAAGTTGTAATAAGACTAAGCACCTCCGTGTGTGCCATGACGCACAGGTGTAATCCCAGCACTCAGGGAGACAGAGGCAGGTGGATCCCTATGAGTACAAAGAGAGTCCAGGGCAGCCAAGTCTACATAGAGAAATGCTGTCTCAAAAACAAACAAACAAACAAACACAGCAAACCAAAAACAAAACAAAGCCAGAACAAAATAAAATAAAAAACCCCAAACCAAAAGAAAACAAAAAAAGACTAGGCACCTTGCCTTCTATTAAGGTTAGACTAGGCAAACCAGTGGGAGGAAAAGGGTCCCAAAAGCAAAAGATTCATAGAAAGCCCCTGTTCCCATTGTTAGGAGTCTCACAAGAAGACTGAATACACCACCATAACATATATGCAGAGAACTTAGGTCAGTCCCATGCAGGCTCCCTGATTGTTGGTTCAGTCTCTGTGATCCCCTACGAGCCCAGGTTAGTTGATTCTGTAAGTTTTCTTGTGGTGTTCTTGTCCCTTCTGACTCCTACAATTCTTTCTCCTCCTCTTCTGCAGGATTCCCTGAGCTCCCACCTAATGTTTGGCTGTGGGTCTCTGCTGCATTTGTTCCATCAGTTGCTGGATGAAGCATTCTAGGCTGCTGTTTATTAGTATAGCAGAATAGCATTAGGAATCATCTCATTATTATTTTTTTTTCGCCAGTCCTGCTTGGTTCTATCCTAGGTGAGTGGGCTATGCAGCCTCTGGTTCCTGGCTCTCCTGGCAGTGTCAGGAGTGGGCTCCCTTTCATAGCATTCCTCCCAAGCTGGACTGGTCTTTGGTTGGCCACTCCCACAATGTCTGTGCCACCTTTATTTTCCACAGCACATCTTGGAGGCAGGACAAATTACAGTTAGAAAGTTTTGAGGCTGGGTTGGTGTCTCAGTCCCTTCTCTGAAAGTCTTGCCTGGTTACAGGATATGGGAGGTTCAGGCTCCATATCTCCTGTTGCTAGAAGTCTTAGCTGGGGTCACCTAGTAGGTTTCTGGGAGCTTCTATTACACTAGGTTTCCACCTCACCCCTGAATGCCCCCAGTTCCAGTTGTCTCTCCCAGTACTCTCTCTCCATCTTACGTTCTCCCGATCCCTCCTGCTCCCCTACTCAATCCATCTGCACAGTCTAGTCTATTTCCTCCTCCCAGGGAGAGCCATTCGTCTACCCTGGAGCCCTCCTTGTTATGTGGCCTTTCTGGACCTCTGGATTGTAGCGTGGTTATCCTTTACTTTACAGCTATTGTCCATTTATAAGTGAGTACATACCATGTTTGTCTCTCTGGGACCGGGTTACCTGACCCAGTATGATTTTTTTTTTCTAGTTCCATCTTTTTGCCTGCAAATTTCATGATGTCATTGTTTTTAATGGCTGAGTAATATTCCATTGTATAAATGTACCACATTTTCTTTAACTATTCTTTGATTGAACGACACTTAGGTTGTTTCTAGTTTCTGGCTATTATGAAAATGGCTGCAGTGAACATGGTTGAACAAGTATCATTGTGAGATGATGGAGCATTCTTTAGGTATATGCCCAGAAGTGGTATAGCTGGGTCTTGAGGTAGGTTGAATCCCAGTTTTCTGAGAAATAGCCATATTGATTTCCAAAGTGGCTGTACAAGTGCCCCAACCAGCAGTGGAGGAGTGTTCCCCTTGCTCCACATCCTCTGCAGCATATATTGTCACTTAAGTTTTTGATCTTAGCCATTCTGACAGGTGTGAGATGGAATCTCAAGAGTTGTTTTGATTTGCATTTCTCTGATGGCTAACAATGGCTAAGGAAGTGTTTCTCAGCCATTTGAGATGCCTCTGTTGAGAATTCTGTTTAAATCTGTATCCCATTTCTAAATTGGATTATTTGGTTTGTTGATGTCTAATTTTTTGAGTTCCTTATATATTTTGCCCTTTGGCATATGTGAAGTTGGTGGAAATTTTTTTATTTTTTATTTTTTATTCTATAGGTGGCTGTTTTGTCCTTTTGATAGCATCTCTTTTTCCTTAGAGAAGCTTTTCAGATAAGGTCTCATTTTTTGATTGTTAATTTTAGTGCCTGCACTATTGGTGTTCTGTTCAGGAAATTGTCTCTTGTGACAATGCTTTCAAGACTCTTACCCACTTTCTGTTCTATCAGATTCAGTGTGATTGGTTTTATGTTGAACTCTTGACTACTTGGACTTGAGTTTTGTGGAGGGTCACAGATATGGATCTGTTTGCATTCTTCTATACGCTGACATGCACCGTTTGTTGAAGATGTTTTCTTTTTTCCATTGTATAAATTTGACTTCTTTATCAAAAAGCAGGTGTCCATAGGTGTGTGGATTTACATCTGGGTCTTCAAATAGATTTCCTTAATCAACCAGTCTGTTTTTATGCCAATACCATGCAGTTTTTATTCCTATAGCTCTGTAGTGGGGTTTGAAATTGGGGGTGGTGATACCTCTGAAAGTTCTTTTTATCATACAGGATTGTTGTAGCTATCTTGGGTTTTTTTGTTTTTCCATATGAAGTAGAATATTTTTAAGGTCTGTAAAGAATGTGTTGGGATTTTGATGGGAACTGTGTTGAATCTGTAGATTGCTTTTGGTAAAATGGCCATTTTTACTTTGTTAATCCTACTGATCCATGAACATAGAAGATCTTTCTATCTTCTAAACTCTTCTTCCATTTCTTTCTTCAAAGTCTTGAAGTTTTTTTCATAGAATTCTTTCACTTGCTTGGTTAGAGTTACCCCAAGATATTTTATATTATTTGTGGCTATTGTGAAGGGTATTGTTTCCCTGATTTATTTCTCAGCCCACTTGTCATTTGTATATAGTAGGGCTACTAATTTTTTTTTTTTAAAGTTAAGTTTGTATCTAGCTTCTTTGCTGAAAGTATTTATCAGCTATAGGAGTTTCCTGATGGAATTTTTAGGGTCACTTCTGTATGCTATTGTATCAACTGCAAATAAAAATGATTTCTTCTTGTGTAGTTTACGCCCCCTTGATATCCTTCATTTGTCTCATGGCTGTAGCTAAGACTTCAAGGCTTCAATTATATTGGATAGGATTGAAAGAGGTTGTCTAACTTTGTCATTTCTTTTTTTTTAGAAGTATTGCTTTTAGTTTTTTTCCACTTAAGTTGTGTTGACTGCGGGCTTGCTGAATACTGCCTTTATTTTGTTTAGGTATGGGTCTTATATCCCTGATCTCTCCAAGACATTTATCGTGAAGGGGTGTTGGATTTGATCAAAGGCCTTTTCTGCATATAATGAGATGATCATGTGTTTTTTTGTCTTTTTGTTATATGGTGGATTACATTTATTGATTTACGTATGTTGAACCATCCCTGCACCTCTCGGATGAAGTCTACTTGATCATGGTGGATGATCTTGGATTTTGTTTGCAATTATTTTATTGGTAATCTTTGCATCTGTGTGTTCTTAAGGGAAACTCCTCTGTAATTCTCTTTCTTTATTGGGTCTTTTGTGGTTTGGGTATCAGGGTGACTATAGCATCATAAAATGAATTGGGCAGTGTTCCTTATGTTCTATGTTGTGGAATAATTTGACAAGTATTGGCATTTACCCTTTGAATGTCTGGTATAATTCTGTTCTATAACCATCTTGCCCTGGACTTACATTGATTGGTGGACTTTTAATTACTACTTCAATTTCACTACAGGTTATAGGCCAATTACACTACAGGTTAAATTGCTTTATCTCGTCCTGATTTAAATTTGGTAAGAGGTATGTATTAAGAAAATTATCCATTTTTAGATTTGCCAATTTGGTTGAGTACAAGTTTTTAAAGCATTTCTCACGATTCCTTCGATTTCCTTGGTGTCTGTTATGTTCCCCTTTTCATCTCTAACTTTGTTAAATTGTAACTTCTGCTTCTACATTTTAGTTAATTTGATTAAGGGTTTGTCAGTCGCAATATTAATATTCTCAAAGAATCTCTTTGTTTCATTGATTCTTTGTATTTTTTGTTTATTTCTATCTTACTGATTTCAGTCCTGTTATGATTCCTGATATTTTGTGGTTGTGGGGTATGTATGTGTGTGTGTTTCTTTTGATTTACTGGTCTGTTTTCTTGGGTGTGGGTTAACCTCTTCAGGTTAGAATTCTCCTTCTAGCACCTTCTGTAGGGCTGGATTTGTAAATAGATAATGTTTAAATTTGGTTTTCTCATGGACTATCTTACTTTTTTTCTATCGTGATTTAAAGTTTTGCTTTCACAAAAATTTCACAGTTAGCCAGGTGTAGTGATACATGCCTTTAATCCCAGCACTTGGAGGCAGAGGCTTGAGGATCTCTGAATTTGAGGCCAGCCTGGTCTACAAAGTGAGTCCAGGATAGCCAAGGCTACATAGAGAAACCCTGCCTCGAACTCCCCCAAACCCCCAAAAGAGTTTTGCAGTCACAGTGTATAGAAGACTGTATTGGCATCTGTGTTCTCTATAGAGTCCGTAGAACTTCTGTTCAGGTCCTTCTGGCTTTTAGAGTCTCCATTAAGAAGTCAGGTGTTATCCTGATAGATCTGCCTAAATAAGTTATTTGGTCTTTTTCCCTTGAAGCTTTTAATATTATTTCTTTGTTCTGTACATTTAGTGTTTTGATTATTATGTGACAAAGGGAATTTGTTTTCTTTCTGGTCCAGTCTGTTTAGTGTTTCTAAACAGACTTTTTTTAAAAAAACTTTATTTGTTTGTTTGTTTATAAATTACAGTTTATTCACTTTGTATCCCAGCTGTAGCCCTCTCCCTTGACCGCTCCCACTCCCACTCTCCTTCCCTCAGCTCCTCCCATGCCCCTCCCCAAGTCCACTGATAGGGGAGGTCCTCCTCTCCTTCCCTCTGACCCTAGCCTATCAGGTCTCATCAGGACTGGCTGCATTGTCTTCCTCTGTGGCCTGGTAAGGCTGCTCCCTCCTTATGGGGAGGTGATGAAAGAATCAGCCACTGAGTTCATGCCATAGACAGTCCCTGTTCCCATTACTAGGGAACCCACTTAGAGACTGAGCTGCCATGGGCTACATCTGTGTAGGGGTTCTAGGTTATCTCCATGAATGATCCTTGGTTGGAATATCAGTCTCAGAAAAGACCCTGTGCCCAGATGTTTTGGTTGTGTTGCTCTCCTTGTGGAGCTCTAGTCCCCTCCAGGTCTTTCTATGTCTTCCGCTTCTTTCATAAGATTCCCTGCACTCTGCCCAAAGTTTAGCTATGAGTCTCAGCATCTGCTTTGATACACTGCTAGGCAGAGTCATTCAGAGGCTCTCTGTGGTAGGCTCCTGTCCTGTTTCCTGTTTTCTCCCTCTTCATATGTCTGTCCCATTTGCCTTTCTGAATGAGGACTGATCATTTTACCCAGGGTCCTCCTTCTTGATTATCTTCTTTAGGTGTACAGATTTTAGTATGTTTATTCTATATTATATGTTTAATATCTACTTATAAGTGAGTATATACCATGTGTGTCTTTCTGCTCCTGGGATACCATGTTTCCGTACTTTTAAAAGTGGCCAGCAAGATGGCGCAGCAGGTAATAAAGGCCATGTCCATGGTAACTTGGCAGACTGAGTTTGGTCCCTGGAACCCGTATAAAGGTAGAAAGAACATAAAGTTGTTCTCCACTGTTCACATGTACGCTGTAGTACATACTTTCCCCTTCACACACACATGCACGCAGGCATGCACACACACATACTGCTGCTGCTAATGATGATAAAAATGATAATTATTATTGTTTTAAAATGTTAAGCTGGTCCTGATGGCACAGGCCTGTAACCTTAGTTACTTAGGCTTTTGATGTTGTATTTCAAGTTTCAGGCCAATCTGGGCAGCTTAGCAATATTTTCTCTCAAAATAAATAATACAGAAAAAAAAATTCTGGGGCCAATATGAGCTGGGGAGAAGGTTTAGCTGGTAGGTAAAGTGTGTGCAACCACGAGCACACCCATGACTGTGCCCCATCTTTACCACCAAATCACAAAATGCCTTGAATTACAGAGCTAGTCTTGTGTGTTCAAAGCTTTAGGAGAAAGAGAATATTTGAACTGAATAGTACTGTGAAAGTTGAGCTGGGTATGGACGCTGCAGATCCCAGCACTGATGGACGCCACAGAGGACTGTGATCCTAGCACTGATGGACGCCACAGAGGACTGTGA